TGGCTTGAATGGTTGGAAATGGTTGGCTTGGTAAGGGCTTCAGCCAGAAGCTTCCACAGCAGTTCTGAATGAAAGGTTCTTGTCTTTTTGCTGAAGCTCCCAATCCTCAGTGAGTGAGTGAGTCAGTGAGTGAGTGAGTTAGTCAGTGAGTGAGTCAGTGAGTGAGTGAGTTAGTCAGTGAGTGAATGAGTGAGTCAGTGAGTGAGTTAGTCAGTGAGTGAGTCAGTGAGTGAATGAGTCAGTGAGTGAGTGAGTTAGTCAGTGAGTGAATGAGTGAGTCAGTGAGTGAGTTAGTCAGTGAGTGAGTGAGTTAGTCAGTGAGTGAGTCAATGAGTGAATGAGTCAGTGAGTGAATGAGTGAGTTGAGGCTCTTTGACAAGAAGCTTTAGAGGCCTGACTCCCTGGTACTGAAGAGCTTGGATGGTACACAACCTGCTGGGGAGGTGGAGGGGGTTATTTTTTACCCCCTCGCCCCCAACTAACACCTCTTTTTGTCCCTCCTTTTTTCTCTCTCTCTCTCTCTCTGTACTCCCCACTTCCTTCCTTCCTTCCTCCCCTCTCTCTCTCCCTCCCCCCCTCCCTCCCTCCCTGATGAGGGGCTGCTGCAGGCTGTGTGCTCGGCCCCTGTGCTCATGCTGCTGCCTCCGCCGCTCTCCACACAGCGCTGGAGCCCGCGGCTCGGGCTGCCGCCGCCGTGTTGCTGCCGCCGCCGCCGCCGCTGCGCTGCTCCGGCTCCGGCTCTGACGTAAGCCCGAGAAGCCGGGGCGGGGAGAGGAGAGGAGAGGGGACGGGGCGCGCAGCCGCCGCCACATCGAGGCCCGGAGGAGCCGCGGGGCGGGAAGCGGAGAGCGGGGAGGAGGAGGAGGAAGAGGAGGAAGAAGAAGAAGAGGAAGAAAAAGCCCTCCCTCCCCCCCCCCCACTCCTCTCCTCCATCCATCCCTCCCTCCCTCCCTCTCTCCTCCCTCCCTCCCTCCATCACCACCTCCACCCACACAGCGTTCGAGGAGGAAGGGAAGGAGAGAAAGAGACAGAGAGAAAGGAGGAATAAAGGCGCCAAGACCCAGGCAAGTGTCCGCCGCCCACAGAGGCCGAGTGGGGGGGAGGGGAGGGCGCGGCGCGCGAAGCGCGGGGTCGGCCTTAGGCCGGGCTCAGGGCCGCACCTAGGCCGCGGCCTGGGCTCCAGCTCTGTAACCCGCCACACACACACACACAGAGAGAGGGGGAAGGAAGGAAGGAAGGAAGGAGAGAAAAGGAAAGAGAAGGAGAGAGAGAGGGAAGGGTGGGGAGAGAGAGAGAGAGAGAGAGAGGGGGGGAAGGAAGGAGAGAGGGAAAGAGAGAGAGAGGCCTAGTTACCTCCAAGCCCCGGGGTGTGTGTGTTTATATATAAATATCTGTAGAAAGAGAGAGAGAATGAGAGAGAAAAGGATGGGCCGGGAGGAGGGGGAGAGGGGGAAGGGAAAAGAGGAGGGAAAATGTCTTCTTTTTTACTATATGAAAATCCAGACTTTTTCTGTATATAAAAAAACATTTGTTTTGCTTTTTTTTGGGGGGGGGAGAGAACAGGGATTTACAATGTTTATTTGAGAGGGAAAGAGTGTGTATAAGAGAGAGGGGGAGAGATGGGCCCCTGGACATGGCGGGGCCTCCAGTCACGGTTGGAACAAGGAGCCGGTGGGGGTAATGGCGGCCACACAACATGTCGGCCATGAACTGCTGCTGATGGCGGGGAAGCCTCCACTGCCTCCCTGTACAGACCAGACACAGTCACACACACAGACAGTCTCACACACACACACATAGACAGACTCACACACACACAGACATAGACAGACACACACACAGACAGTCACACAGACACAGTCAAACACACACACACATAAACAAACACACACAGACAGTCACACACACACACAGACAGTCACACACACAGACAGTCACACACAGACAGTCACACAGTCACACACACACAGACAGTCACACACACAAGACAGTCACACACACAGACAGTCACACAGACAGACAGTCACACACACACAGACAGTCACACACACACAGACAGTCACACACACACAGACAGACACACGCACAGACAGTCACATGCACAGACACAGTCACACGCACAGATACAGGCACAGACAGACAGTCACACGCACAGACAGTCACGCACACGCACAGACAGAGTCTCACAGACAGACAGTCACACACAGACAGGCAGTCGCACACGCCCAGGCAGTCGCACATGCACAGACAGACAGTCACGCACAGTCACACAGACAGACAGTCACACAGACACAGTCTCACACACACAGTCGCACACAATCACACATAGTCGAACACAATCACACAGTTGCACACACAGTCACATACAATCACACAGTCTCACACACACAGTCACACACACACACAGTCACGTCACACTTACACACAGACAGTCACATACACATAGACAGTCACACACACACAGAGTCAGACAGGCCAAGGCAGCCCCCCATTCATTCGTTCATTCATGCAGGAGGGCTGCTTTATTTATTCACAATCACTTATTGTTATTAACAGTAATAATAACAACACATTTGTTTCACCGCCTTTCATTTCCCCCCTCTCCACCCCAAGGTTTTTTTTTGAGTGGGGGAAGGGTGAAAGGGGGCAATAACTATAGGTGCAATTCCCTGAATATGCTTTCTGGGGTACTGGATATGTACAATACAAACCATGTCATTCTTTCTGAACAAAATGTTTTCCAACCCTAATGATGATGATACTAATAAGCCTTGCATTTGATATAGTGCCTTATCATATCGTTGAGACGTCTCAAAGCGCTTCACAGGATGTACTGTAAAGCGGATTGACATATGTGTTTTGTAGACGAAATGTGGCAGCCAAGATACTCTACAACTTTACAGTATGTCCTGTCTATCGGCCCTTATCACCTGTCTCAACGAGGTGATAAGGGGCGATATCAAATTGCAAGGATTATTATTACAGGCAAGTTTATGTGACTGCCCTGATGCTCAGTGATCAACAGCATTAGCCACCACCTTTGGTTGAAGCAGGAGGATGTCGCTTGTGCTGATTCAGTGACTTTTCTAGAGTATTGTGTGACTTTCCAAGTTGCTGTTGTTGCGAGGGGGAGGTCACTCCTTCTGAAATCCTCTTGATGCAACTATATCAAAATGAGATGACTCAATAAATTGTGCTGATTTAAAAAAAAATTGCATATTGTTTTCATTTGAAGTGTTGTGGCAAATTGCAGTAGACTTCTTTCGGAGCAATGTGAAATATTCAAATCCTGCACAAATATCCGTTAATACAGTATTTCTATTGCTTACAACGAGGAGGGTATGGGGTGATCTGATAGAGGTCTTTAAAATTATGAAAGGTTTTGATAGGGTAGACTTAGGGAAAATGTTTCCACTTGTGGGGGAGACCAAAACAAGGGGCCATCAATATAGAATAGTCACATATAGATCAAATAAGGAAGTTAGAAGAAATCTCTTCACAGAGAAAGTAGTGAGAATGTGGAACATGCTACCGCAAGGAGTTGTTGAGGCAAATAGCATAGATGTATTTAAGGGAAAGCTAGATAGGTACATGAGGGAGAAAGGAATTAAAGGTTATGCTTGAAGGCTTAGTTGAGGAAGGGCAGGAGGAGGCTCATGTGGAGCATAAACACCGGCGTAGACCAGTTGGGCCGAATGGCCTGTTTCTGTGCTATATATTGTAATGTATTCGAACAACATTGCTTCCTTCCCGTGGATCCTTTTTTTTTAGCTCCATTCACCTTGTACAACAAGCTGATAAAAGTGATGAGATTGTAGTTGTGCCTTGTTGAATTGATGTTGTTTTCACTATAACTATGAATTTTCAATATTATTAAAGAAGGCACTGTGGTAGTTTAATCATTATATTAACTTACAGTGCATTTTTAACCTTGTAAGAATACTGTAATGTTTTTGTCAATGAGTGCCTAAGAAGGATATTTTGTACAAGTTAAGCTTTGCTAATAGCATGAAAATATGTTCCAAAGAATCCATTGATTTCTGCATAGTTCATAGCATTTAAAGTGAGTGTTTTGTTTTGAAGCAGCCTCATTCTCTGGGTTGCTAAAAATACAATTTTTAAGAACCACAGTGGAAAAAGTTGGTATATGTAAATTGATTAAAACATCAAATTAATTGAATATTCCCTGTTTCTATAAGTGATTTTCATCGACGGCTTAAAATTTGGACCAATGCCAAGTGTTGCATGTGCAATGGGCCAAGTATCATTTCAGTATCCTCATTTTATGCTTTATTCCCAGCCATTCAATTTCTAAATAAATTCTTGATGCCAAAAGATTCTTTGCTTTTATCACGTGAAGTTATTTTTTACAGAAATAGTTTTGGGAGCCAAAGAACTGAATGAGCTTAATTGATTTCACAAGAGAGATTCAGATGAAGAAGCCTCAATGGCTCACTTGATCTTATCCTTCCAGAATATCCTCCCGTCCTTCCATCACAGTATCAAGCTGTTTCTTAAATGTGTTCTCCTCAACTACCCTTCTGGGTAAACAATTCTATTTGTTAATTTCGCACTGATTAAAGAAATATACTCACCGGTTAAAGGAATATTTCATGGTGTGTGTCATGAAATTGTCCCTTGCATTCCTAAACTTGTGACCTGTTGTTCTGCTGATTCAATGCAACCAAGAGTATTAATTTACAAAGAAATATTGCAAAAATGTCTAATGATTAATGTTTCATGTAGGAACTCATTTCTAGGTTCATTTTGCTCTTCCATGTAAAGAATGGATCTACAAAGCCAAAGCCCCAATGTTCCTTAGTATGCATCAACAGAGTCCCAGAGCTAATAAACAAATTCAGCATATATTATTTTTCTTAACATTTGCTGTTGACAGCTGGGTCTAAATAAAACTAACCTTACCATTTCACTTCTGTATAGGAACCTGTAGTTGCAGTACTATGATTGTAAATTTTCCATATTTGGCACTTTATGGCAGGAGTACTGCACTCACAGCACAGCGTAGAAAATTGAAATGGTTAGTGTGGTTTTGATTTGCATACAGGAAATATTTGTGAATTGTAATTTTTTTTATCTAGCCATATCTTTAAAACGTCTTGCTAATTCTGTAATTTACTTGTAAATCATTGTATACTTAGGTTGGAAGATCCTGTGATTTTTAAAAAAAACTTATCTGCTTCAGATATGTTTAAAATGGTGGGTATTGAGAGATGAAATAATAATGTCAAAATGCTGATTATATTCAAATTAGTTCCTGTAGAAACGAATTAAAAATATAAAAATCTAGCATACTACTTTTGTGGGTTTCAATGCAGTACTGGGTGATTGCTTCCTTTAACAGCTGATTCAGATGAAATTGAGTAGTTGGTGCACAAGTACAAAACTACAGTATTTACAACAACATTTATATGGCACCATATATGTATGGAGGAGCGGGCAAAGCGTGGAACATTGAGCTTATTATTGGGCAAGTTTCCTTACTCCACATGCCTTTATTTACCTAGCAGTAAATAGGAACCTGGTTATTAGTTGATTGGCAGATTTTTTTTCCGGGGGTAATAATCCTTTTTTTAAAAAAAACATGTAATTTGATCACTCAATCCATGATTGTTTGCGGGACACTGCTGTACTCAATTAGCTGCCGAGTTTCACCCATAAAATACACAGTCAATTCACTTTAAAGTATATTCTGTGAAACGTTTTGAGACGTCTCAAAGTCGTGATAAAGCTCCATATAAAATGCAAGGATTATTATTATAATACCTTTGTAAGGAACGGGTCAGACACCAAGCAAAAGAGGCTTGCTAGGTACAGGTATTACTTCTGTCAATTCCCTTTTCTCCCCTTCTCCAGCCCATTGATAACACTATAAGCAGATCTATTTCATTTTGGAGCCAGAGCTCAAAATCCTAAAACTCTTAATTTATAACTGTTGGGTTAAATAAATGAATGAATGAATGAATGAAAGAGAATAAAGGGGGTAGTATTATTTTAAATTAAGTATAAAGTAATCTGCTTTGATAATTTGGGGCCTTGTTGCAAAAGCATCATAATGAAAACTTTAAAACCCTGGTGAAATGACATTTTCAATACATTTTCATTTCTTGTCAAACTAGGGATTTATATGGATATCTAAGGTATCAATTAAATGGAAACTATGGAACTATGAACCTAACTATTGGAGCATTCCTTATTACTGTATTCTCTGTGAATAGAAACAATTCAAAAACTTGAATTTGTCACTGAAAAAAATAGCAGCTGTTGTATTCATTAAAAATTTAGTTAATTTGGAAACAAAATCTCTTAACTACAAACATTAAAAACACTTTGTTACTTTAATCAAAACAAATTACAATTTTTGTTGTTGTTGTTTAGACGCCTACACTGATGAGCTGCACATCATGGATCAAGGTGGGGGAGGCCTTGAGCTTCAATCACAGGATTCAAAAATCTCACATGCTATGATTATGCAGGACTTTGGTAGGTAGTTTGTTTTATTTCTTATTTAGCAGTTGTTTGTGGTACAGCTTGAAAATTTATCAACATGGCAGTCTGTAGAGAGGATGTCAGAAAGTTAAGAGAAGATTATTGGAAGATTATAGTGCAACTAGGAAGTAAGTATTACTATATCTGAAATACTGCATAACTGGAAGTTTGTATCAGGTTCACATAAACTCTGTAGTGCAACTATTTTAAGGAGTGCAATTGAATTTCAGTGAATGGTGAAACAACCTTGAAGGGTGGGTATTCAATTGGTCCAGCCTCAGAGCTGTAATAGATCAGACAAACAGCATGAACCATCTTAAGGTCAAGCCTATACTTCAGTCTGTCTTGTCAATGCAGCATTATCAGTAGTCATCTGTACAACATGACCTGTAATATTGTGTCAGATGAACCTGCATGTCATGGACAGATAACCTGATGCTAGCAGAAGGATAATTAGATATCTGAACTGACAGAATGTTTTACTAATCGGCACAGTCTTAATCTCTTGGTTTATTTTGCAGTGACGGGGATGGCTGGTGCAGCTCACATCGATGGTGATCACATTATTGTAACCGTGCCTGAAGCAGTGCTGGTCTCTGATGTTGCTGGGGAAGATGTTACACTGGAACATGAGCTAACGACTAATGTTCATGAAGTTGTTCAGGGTCCAGATATCATAACTGAAAGTGATGTTGTTACAGAAGCGGTGATTGTTTCTGATTCAGTATTAGAGACTGATGTTGCCATTGAAGAAGACTTGGACACTACTTCAGTTCCTGACCAAGTTCTGGCTTCAGATCTTATAACCGAGACAGTTGGAGTTCCAGATCAAGTGCTGGTATCAGACCTTGTTTCCGTGCAGGATGAGGAACAGTTTGAACATGTGGTTCAGGATTCGGTTGCAAATGTTCTTTCACCAGGGATGGTATCGGAGGAAGTTATGGAAGCAGATGCTGTGTCAGAGACTGTAATCCAAACTCACGATTTAATTCAAAGTCAAGAGACTGTTTCTTGTCCAGCTATGACAATTGCAACTCATATAGATGGAAAAGATACATCTGAAGATTACTTAATGATATCCTGTAAGTGGAAATTAAGAAAGTTATTCTGTTTATATTAATGTTGGGATCTTAGAATTGTTTCTTTCCAATTTTATGTCTATTAGGCTGATTTACCATCCGTTTATGGCATATGTAACAATTATACACTCACAAAATAGGCTTCTGTTTCTTTTTGTATATTTGTAGAATGCAAATACATTAATAGATGGGCATCATAGGATTAGGCGCGACAGTCATACAGGCAAGACATTCAGATGATCTAAATCATAAGAGCAAGCAATTTGTGTAGATGCAATAAATAGGTTGCCTTGTGGATTATATGCTACACGGTACTGCACAGTAGTTGAATACTTTGAAAGGATTAAGGTGTTTGTCACATAGTTGGATTCAAATGACAGGAATATTTACTTATTGGAAGTTCATTGGCAAGAATTGTCCAGTTTCACATTTTTTTGCACTTTTTTTATTTATTGCTCCCCACTTAAGTGGTTTACTTTTTTTTCTCTTTAGATCTCTTACATCAGTCCCTAATCAAGAAAGTGTGGGTCACATGCTCCCAGCCAGACCAAGACCTACGTACTTGGTCTGGCCACTGGGAGGTGAGTAGGAGCAGCCTGGAGTGACATCCTCTGATTGTTCCTTCCTGTGAGGAAACAACAAGCCTCTCATGGCAGCACCTACTATGATGGGATAACTGAGTTCCTGGCGAGACACTGAGCGGAGGCTGTTGTGTCTTCCTATGCGTAGAGGGAAATCGGAAAGGAAAGTCAAACATGCCTGCCAACAGACCATGTAACCCACTCCATGAGCTGCAGCCCATTAACATAAACTTTTAAAATAACTATAATTTAAATTGTTTCAAAAGTAAAATGCATTTTAGTCCCAATTTAGGTAAAACAACATAAGTAGCTTTACAAAACTCAACAAATCACCTGACTAATGACTATCTACTGACCATTATGCTTCTTTATAGCAGTCATACAAGATAGTTGTCATGACATCATCAGCACTCAATCTTTATCAGCCTTAATATCAAGTCCTTTTGAAATTGTAGCTGTGTACTCCAACTAATAAATACAAATATTTGTAATTGCTTCAAAGCTTTGAGTGCTGCAAGACCCTGGGAAAGAAAACGAGAACAGTCAAAGAACTCAAAATCAAGCTAGTGAAAATTAGATTGCAGTTAGTAACAAAACTTTTTTGAGAAGGGAATGAAACCAACATGAAAGTCTTTTACAAGTACTTTGATGCCCTGAATCTTCATTACTACCCAAAACAGCAGGCAAAGGGTCTTAAGAATTTCAATTAAATCTAGTATTTTGAAGTATATGTGATGTCAGGGATTGTTGAGAATACATCTGATGTGCTAGAACTCAAGTTTACAATTAAATGTTCATTTTATACAGTGGATGATGTTGGAGAGAAGTTGGACCACATGGGAAACACACCAATTAAAATAAGCACTGACGTTGAGCAAGATGATTCCTCAAAAGATGATGGGTATGGACCTGAGGTCATCAAAGTGTACATTTTTAAAGCAGAACCAGAAGATGATGTGGAAATAGGTAAACGCTTTTGCTTTGTGATTTTATATTCTTAACATATATCTGCCTCACCTAGTCACAATACACATCTACTGTATCTGATGACAATGCTGCAGCAACCATTTCTTGATGTAAAGTCAGATTAAACAACAAAAGTTCATTTTGCCTGAATAACACCTGGCCTATTATGCTGTTCTAAACAGCTGTGCATTTAAACAAGGATTTTAAAATAAATCCTATTTGAACTTTATAACTTAATTGAATGTTTGTAATGAAGAGACTTGTATTCCAATTAAACTCACTGACATCGTTGGATCACTTCACAATAGCAGTGGTCAATTGACATTTTGTATAAAAGTTAGTTATAAAACTTATAAAAGTTAGTTTTATGTTTTTCGTTGTTTCATTTTCAATATTATGAAATTACATGGACATTGAAAATACCTTTACCGTCCATGGGATTTTAACAAACCAATTTAGCAACACTGTGAGCTTTGTCTCCAACCAATGGTACGTGAAATGTAAAGTTTTCATTACCTTACTGGGATATTGACTAAATAGGTTGGGAAGCATCTGATGGTTGAAGTTTTGTTGCTGTGGTTGGTGATGGGGATAACATTTGTGAACTTAACAACCAAATTGTTTTTTGTGATGGACACAATTTTAACAAGCAGTAATTAAACAATAAGCCTGTAATCCCCAGAGATTTTTTTTAATACATTGGTGCCTGTCGACAATCATGTGGAACGATTTCAGTACGGGTGAAATCATTTGTTAAAATTGTCCAAAGCATAATTATTGGATTTTTAAATTTTTATTTTTAAAAATAATTCCAAGTTGTTCCATTGAAAGCTTTTTGTTTGTTTTTAAGGTGAAACAGAAGTTATCACTGAAAGTGATTATCAAAATGGTCATGCTATAGCTGGAGTACTTGACCAAGGGAATGTTGGTAGAGTAACTCGGGAAAAGATGGTTTACATGGCAGTGAAAGATCCATCCCAAGAAGATGACATCAGTAAGATATTTATCTATTGTTCCATTTTAGTGCTTATTGAAGGCAACTTCAGAAGTAGTACATTTTTCCAGATTACTTACCAGCACAGTCCTCTCTAGATTCCCAACAATCTTTAGTAGGTTTGGTTCAGTGATTTTTCACAATAAAGAAGTAACACTATTGTAAGCGTGATTAATGTACAGTATATGGTGCCCTGCGCATGTTATGGCAGTGTTAATGTTTGTGCATAGTTTTATCTGAACCTATATGTCTCGAGTTTATTTCAGGAAATAAGTATTTTTTGTAACATTTGCTGATTCTTTTTGTAAAACAATATAAAGCAAACCTCCAAGATTGCTAATAATTCCGTTTGGATTAAAAAATTGCTTCAGTAATGATGTTTGATTATTCAGACTGTGCTGATATTGCCGACGAGGTTTACATGGAGGTCATCGTAGGAGATGAAGAAGCAACAACTGTTCATGAGACACAGATTGAGGATTCTGGCATCAGTAAAGCCTTTGTACCAGTTGCATGGGCTGCTGCATACGGTAAAAAAAAAACTTGTAACAGTTTTGATTTATTGGTTTTTTCTTATTGTTTTAAAAATAACTTGGGAAAGTATTTAGAAATCTAATACTTTGGTGCTTCTGAAAAGATTATCAGCAAGTGAAAATACTTAACAGTTAATGGGTGCTGACTAAATCAACGCACATAATATTTGTAATAAATAAGCTACGTGATTGTGTTGTTTAGCTGTACAGCTGAGCAATGAGCAAGATTCTGTTCTGTGCTTGGTCAGCTCCCAGTCAGCTGTGTGAAGCATTTTGAGGCAACTTCCCAATGTGAAAGGTGGTTATATAGTAAAACTCATATAGATCATAACATTTAGTATGACCTGTGCAAAGTCTGAGTTGCAGTCAAATTGGACAAATCGTATAAAATCTGATTTAATCAATAATCTACACTGCGCATGAATAATCGGATTACACTTTCACTCCTCAGTATTAGAATTGAATCGTAGCTATGGCTTTATTTGAATCTCTATTTCTGTACTTTGCTGTTGTTCTTTGGTCCAATTCGCAAAATGTCTGCAGGATGGGCAAAAATGTTGAATTTCATCTTATTGCTTTGTTGAAGGTAATAATTTTGAGGCAAAGAGAGAAAATAAGAATGGTACATCGAGTCAGTTCCTACAAATAAGTGACAGCACAAGTACTGCCAGAGTGTTAAAGCAAAAGGGCAGGAAGAAGAGGAGAAACGAAAGCAGGCAGTGGCATACAGGTGAGTGTAGCTGTCCGTCAAAAGCTACGAGATATTTCGTAGCTGTGCATTAGAAACATTATATTTTCTGAGATTTGGATTTTGTTTTAATATTTAACTTGAGCATTTGCATCTTTAATAGGACCTATAGTACAGTCTTAAATTTAGTACTAAACCATGTTTCTTCCATTTGGTACCTTGAGTCCTTCCAATATTGAGAAAACAAAATAGTCTGACAATAACTTTTATGTAGTGATAGGTTAGAAAATGTTTTGAAGTGAGCATACAAAATCACGAATCGATGTTTACTCAGCAATATTACTGAATTTTATTAAGAAAACAAAGTTGAAGAAAGAAAACTTGCCTCTTTTTATAAAGATTGTTTATTGAGCTTCTTCCTTGATTCCTTGATAAGAGATATTTGCATTCTTCTTTTTGTTTGCATAATCCACATTCCACAGAAATTACTGAATGATTTTTGCAAAAAAATAAAATATCACACACACGACTGTTACATAACCGTATATAAGGCACATACCCTCCCATTATGTAATTTTGCCCCTGAGGTCTGACCTGATGTGTATCTAGGATTGTCTTTGTAACATATATATAACTGTATATACATCGTGTAGTCCTGGAATCCTGTAGCTCAGTGGTTAGAGCACTCGCTTTGCAAGCGACAGACCTGAGTTCAATTCCAGGCAGGGCGAAACCTTGGGCAAGTTTCCTTACTCCACACAGAGCCTAATAATAATCCCTCCAAAAAACAAAAACAATAATAAATTGGTCATTTTCAATCTACGACTGTTTGGGGACATTGCTGTGCGCAATTGGCTGCCGCGTTCGCCCACAAATATATATACAGTCAATTCACTTTACAGCATATTCTGTGAAGCGCTTTGGGACGTCCTTCCGACGTGAAAAGCACTATAACAAATGCAAGGATTATTATTATTATTTGTTTTCAGCATTTCACAATCTGTTGATAACCCATAGCAGCCTCTGTGTGAGTGCAAGTAGAACATTTGATTCTGGACTGCTTTCTAATGCCTTTCTTTTCTTGGTCAAGTACTACTTTCCTTTTACAGTCTTACACACAGATTTTTCCAAGTCATTCAGTCCATTTCTGTTGAAGAGTTGCATCCAAAATGTTAACCTAACCTTCTTATCTCAGTATTGAGTTACTCGCTGTGCCATTCCATTTACCTTATATATTTTGCCCACAAAATATATACAGTAAATTCACTTTACAGTATATTCTGTGAAGCACTTTGAGACGTCTCAAAGACGTGATAAAGCGCTATATCAAATGCAAGGATTATTATTAACTGAATATTATTTTCCAACTAGAATTAAAATTGGAGAAAAGAATCAGAATTGTGTTTTTACTATCTTTATTTTATATTGTTCTCAATGATAAACAGCCAAAGAATTTCATGAGCAAGTTCAAGATAATTATTAGTTTCAGTTTACAAAAAGGCTACAGTGTGTAACATAATAAATGTGGATGGATCAAATATTAATTGCCTTTGTTCCTTCTCATTTTTAAATCTAGCTGTCATCATAGGGCCCGATGGACAGCCTATAACTGTTTACCCCTGTCACATCTGTGGGAAAAAGTTCAAATCCAGGGGCTTCTTAAAAAGACATATGAAAAACCATCCTGAGCAGACCACCAAGAAGAAATACCAGTGCACAGACTGTGACTACACAACAAACAAAAAAGCAAGCTTCCACAATCACCTCGAGAGTCACAAGCTAATGAACAAGGGAGAGAAGACATTTGAGTATAATGACGTTGGAAAAAGATTTACTCAGACGGGAGCACTGTCTCCTCATAAACTAGTCAATAGGGACAAAGACACCAAAATGCACAAGTGTAAGTTTTGTGATTATGAGACAGCTGAACAGGGGCTTCTCAATCGCCATCTGTTGGCAGTGCACAGCAAGAATTTCCCACACATCTGCGTGGAGTGTGGGAAGGGATTCCGTCATCCTTCAGAACTTAAGAAACATATGCGGACTCACACAGGAGAGAAGCCATACCACTGCCAGTACTGCGACTACAGGTCTGCTGACGCTTCTAACCTGAAGACCCATGTGAAAACCAAGCACAGTGATGAGTTGCCATACAAATGTGACCACTGCCCTCAAACATTTTTGGATGATAAGGATCTGCAAAAGCACGCCACTTTATTTCAGGCACATAGGACCCACCAGTGCCCACATTGTGACCACAGAAGCTCCAACTCCAGTGACCTTAAACGTCATATAATATCTGTGCACACCAAGGAATTCCCACATAAATGTGAGGTGTGCGATAAGGGATTTCACCGCCCATCAGAGCTGAAGAAACACATGTCAACTCACAAAGGTAAAAAGCTTCATCAGTGCAGGCACTGTGATTTCAAAATTGCAGATCCTTTTATACTTAGTCGGCATATTCTTTCAGTCCACACCAAGGACCTTCCTTTCAAATGTAAAAGGTGCAAGAGAGAGTTTCGACAGCAGAGTGATCTTAAGAAGCATATGAAGACACACAGTGGAAAGAAAGTTTATCAGTGTGAATATTGTGAGTATAGCACGACAGATGCTTCAGGCTTCAAGCGCCATGTAATATCCATTCATACAAAAGACTACCCTCACAGATGTGAGTTTTGCAAGAAAGGCTTCCGTAGGCCATCAGAGAAAAACCAGCACATAATGCGGCATCATAAAGAGGCTATCATGTGATGTAATGTGGAGGCAGAAAATGTTTTACACGTAAAGACTTCATTAATAACTGTCGGTTAATTGGCATGGCTCGTGAACTGTTTCTCCTGGTCTCAACTTGAGTGTTGTTTCTCGACCTACCTTTCATTCTTTGTATTATAAGTTTTAGAAGGTATGAGAGTTGGGGAGGGGGTTCAGTTGTACAATGTTTTGATTTCTATATACAATCTGAATAGTAGGTGTTCTGAGGTTGCCGTAATTGTGAAGCCATTCAGTGAGTTTTCTGTTCTTTAACAATTTCAGGTAACTCGAGTTTAATTCACATGCAGTTGCAAAATATTGTATTCTACAGCTATGCTATGAAACTCACAATTAAACCCTTTAAAATTATTTTCATTTTACTGTTAGACCTAATAAGTATTCCATTTACAGGAACAGACATTGGAAGCATCTATTTTTAACTTTTTAATCAAAAATAAACCCCAATAGTGATTTGTGACAATTAGTCTAGCAGGTACAGATCACCGTTCCAAAAGCCTTCATAAAAAGACTAGTTTAATAGGTGCGATAAAAGTTTTTTTGTTCACTCCTTACAATTGCTGCAGTTCATTACATCCTTGTATTTTAATACCACAGCAAGTGTACGCAGCCAGTGTGGATTGGTGCCATACTGTTGAGAGTCGGACTACTTTTTATTACAGGGTATGTGTGGTGATTACATGCAATCCCTTGCAAATACTTTGGATCTTATAAGTTATATAACATGGAAGTGCTTTATGAATCAAAACAAGCTGGTTCAGAGCTATTTAATGGATATAGATCTTGTTTTGAAATGTTATGCATATGACGTATAGGAAGTGGTATGATGGAAATAGTTTTTTAGCTGTTTACTGCTCACACATCAAATGGTTGTTCACTTTGTGAATTTTTAACTTTATTCATTGTGTTGTGGTAGTTTTTTGTGTTTTTCAAATGTTGTCAATTTTTTGTTTTGCACCAGATGAGAATCAGTTGCTCGAGAATTCAAAACGTTATACTTCTACAATTCAGAATGTTAATCTAGTAATGCCTCTTAGATGAATAATCAAACACTTGTGTTTCATGTGGCTGTAAAGATTGTACACTCTGTAATATAAGAGAAAACCTTTTGTCACTGTTCTGTGGGATTACAATTTCTAAATGTTGTTCTTAATGTGATGAGTATATAAATAAAACTGCATCTGTTGCATAGAGTTCTTTCAGAGTCAGTTACCCACTTGAGCCCTGACCAGGAGCACGTTGTGCAGCTGCTTTGTGGGCAGTTGATGATGGTAGGTTCATCCTTCAGATTTCATGTTGTTCAATCTGATGATTTTGTTCTTTAGTTGCTGCATCTCAAGGAACTCCTTGAGATACAGGAGCAGGGCAGCGTCTGAGAGCGCTCAGATGGAAATGAAGATATTCATCTTTCTCAAATTTCTTACATTGATTCTTGTGGGCTCTTCATCTCCTTGTGTATTTAATGTTTTATCCCCCTTTATCCATACTTTTTTTTTGAACTGGTTTCCATCCCATTAAAGCATTTGATGGTTTACGTATTCAATTCTGTGCAAACTCCTACAAAGTGAAATACTGTAAATGGCAGATTTTGAACTGAATTCTCCATAAACGGTTTTCGCATCCTTATGCTTTCCTTGTTGGCTGATATACTCCTTTATTTGCAACGACGGCATTGAATTATCATACCATCTGCATGAAACGTGAGTAATCAAATTTTATGGAGAGGCTCTCCTTTTAATCTTAATTGCATTGTTGCTGAAATAAATGTAGGAACAGTTATAAATGTAGCAACAATAATACCCGCATTAGACGAGGGTTCAGTGTTTGATGTATTGAGGCAATGCAGTTGTTCAATGTGCCACAAGGTGGGGGACCTGTCGAGCTGCATTTGCTCATTGTCGCCATCACGTGGCAGAGGCTTTAACCACAATTAGGAGTTACCATTGTTAATATACTTGATAATGAAAGCATCTTCTGGAATGAAAAACTACATTTAGTTAATATTGTAAATGAACAGGCAAATGTAAACTTTTCAGGATGTGGTAAGGTTCGACTCTCACATTTTCAAATTGGTTTCCGCGAACCATCAAGTGTAGAAAGAAAGTTGTACGGAAAAGTTCTGCTGGGCAAAAAGCACAAGTACGAAAAGTTATCAAAAAGGCCGATGGGATGTTGGCCTTTATCTCAAGGGGGACGGAATGTAAAAGAGAGGAAATTAACTTATTTACTTACAAAAAGGATTAGGAACCATTTCAATTACATATAATAGAGTTGATATTGGACTCTTAATAATTTATTTGCATTACTTATGGCAGTATATTTCATTTAAAACAGCTCTGCTCTGGTACTTTTTACCAGAATGTTTCACAAAGTGAATCCCTTTTCGACATATTTGAGTTCAGACTCCTTTGTTCATTTAAAGTTAAACAACTGCATGGCTAGTGTTTGCTACAATAGTTTTTTTTGGATAAGGTGGGTTGTGATTCTTCACTTTGTTGGAAATTTGAACATCTGCCCAGCACAGACCAGTGAAACTTTTGCTAAGTTTTGCAATTAGACAGAATTTTGGTGAGCAAGTGTCTTGATGGAACAGAAATTACTCACCGTCTTTTTATTGACTGAATGAGCCCCAGGAAAGAGCAAAGAACAGATGTACCCAAGGAGGAAAGTTGAATGCTCAAAGGAAGGTAAAGATCTAAGAGAGAGTGAGCATGGGCAGTTTGGAGGGGGTAGAGAGTCGAGAAGGGAGCTGAAGGCATGGCCAAAGAGAATAAGTCCTCACTTGCGAGTTTAATTTTTATGTACAGAATGTATTTACTAAATGTTCCACTTGATACTCCCATAAGTTGATCATTCATTCGTAACCACCTTTTTGTGAGTCACATTCCAAAACTAAGCTGTACGGCAATTCCCCAAAGTGTTTTGAATTTTCGGGTAGTACTGCATAATGTTCCAGTCATGAGAATTTGTGCTCTACCTTTCAATTCCACCATTCAAACTTTCTTACTATGTATGGCTGTACAGCTTGAAATGCATGAGCTAGTTTCTTTATTGGGTGTGCCTCAAGGTGATCATACATACTTGTAACAAGACATTTTATATTCAGTTTAGTAATAGACAAATAAATTGGCTCGAGTTATAGAGATGCCGTTTGCATAAACTGGAAAAACCAGTATGGCATGTTACCCGAGAATGTTTTGAGAACCTAAGTACAAAATGAGTAAATAATGACATTAAAATGGGTGGTGCAGGAATGAGTATAAGATGGCATACAAAGGGGCAGATTGAGTCAAGTGTCCACTTGTTACATATAACATCTATTTAAAATATTTAGATGTGTTAGTTCAAATCATGAGAAAACAGATATTCCATCACCAAGGTCAAGGTCAGGATAAGTAGTGTTTTGTATGTGAATGATATACTTACATAAAGCTACAAGATTTGTTTACCAGTCATTGGTGGAGTTATAATCGGATACTTTTTTTGCATTAAGTCATGCTGGTATGATTTCAAAGCAGAGCAGAGTTCCCAATGGTTGGAGTGTTATGTTTGCAATTAACAGAAGGAGTTTCCCACATTAGACTCCATCTTGAGTTTTGTTTGTTAGAACAGTCCAATTTTAATCCTTTCACCCCACACACCACCACCTTTAAGCCTTGCAATTTTTTAGTCAAATAATAATAATCCTAGCATTTGATATACTGCCTTATCACATCGTTGAAACGTCTCCAAAGCGTTTCACAGAATATATTGTAAAGTGGATTACATTTCATAACAAGATAGATGAACAAGATGCACAAATAGACATAAATGGGTACAATCTAGTGGCTATTACTGAGATGTTGTGGAGTCCTGTAGCTCAGTGGTTAGAGCACTCACTTTGCAAGCGAGAGACCTGAGTTCAATTCCAGGCAGGGCGAAACCTTGGGCAAGTTTCCTTACTCCATATGCCTAATAATAATCCCTCCAAAACCAAAAACAATAAATAAATTGGTCATTTTCAATCTACGACTGTTTGTGGGACATTGCTGTGCGCAATTGGCTGCCGCGTTCGCCCACAACTATACAGTCAATTCACTTTACAGTGAGTTCTGTGAAGCGCTTTGGGACGTCCTCCCGACGTGAAAAGCGCTATATCAAATGCAAGGATTATTATTATGTGGTTACAGGGAGTTCAAGGGTGGGAGCTAAACATTCTGGGGTATTCGAATAGGAAAAATAGGTGATGTGGAAAATGAGGTGGGGGGGTATCCCTGCTAATGAAGGATGAGATAAAAACAGTAGAAAGGAAGGATTTTAAATCAGAAAATCAAGATGTAGTCAGTATGGGTGGAGGTAAGAAACAACAAGGGGCAGAAAACACTAGTGGGAGTAGTTTATAGATCCCCAAACAGCAGTTACAGTATTGGGCAGGGTATTAATCAGGAAATTAGAGGAAATAGACTGGGAAATTAGATTTAAAAATATGACGTTAGACCAGCAATGGCAAACATTTAAGGATATAATACATAATTTCCAGAGATCACATATTGAAAAATAAAAATACCACGGGAAAAGTGTTTCAACCTTGGCTAACTAGAGAAGTTAGGGAAGTATAAAATTAAAAGAAGAGGCCTATATAATACTGCCAAAAAGAGTAGTAAACCTAAGGATTGGGAGTGCTTTAGAGAACAGCAAAGGAAAACCAAGAAACTGATTAAGGGGGAGAAAATGGAATATAAGGGTAAACTAGCTAGGAACATAAAGACAGATTGTAATAGTTTTTACAAGTACATAAAGTGAATGTGAGTCCATTACAGGCAGAGACAGGAGATATTATAATGGGAAATAAAGAAATGGCAGAGTCATCAAAACAAATATTTTGCTTCTGTCTTCATATTAGAGGACACTAAAAACTGGAGGCTAATGTTAGTGAGGAACTTAAAAATGAACATCAGTAAAGCAATAGTACTAGTGAAATTAATAGGATTAAAAACCGATAAATCCCCTGGTTTTAAAAGAGGTGACTGCAGAGATGGTGGATGCTTTGTTTTTGATCTTCCAAAACTCCCTGGATTCTGGAATGGTTCCCATTGATTGGAAGGTCGCAAACATAACGCCAATATTTAAGAAGGGTGGGAGACAAAAAAATGGGGAACTATAGACCAGTTAGTCTGACATTGGTGGTAAGGAAAATTCTAGAGTCCTTAATTAGGGACGTTTTCATGGGGTATTGTCATGGGGTACTTAGAAAATCATAACATGATTAGGCAGAGTCAACATGACTTTACGAAAAGGAAATCATGTTTAACAAATCTTATATGTTTTTTTTGAGGATGTAACCAGCAGTTTAGATAGGGGGGAACGAGTAGATGTGGTACATTTGGATTTCCAGAAGGCATTCGATGTGACAAGTGCAGTGCCACAAGGATCAATGCTTGGGCCTCAATTATTTACAGTCTATATTTAGATGAGGAAATAGAGTAAATTCACGAAGATAGGTGGGAGAGTAAGCTGTGAGGATGACACACGAAGAATGCAAAGGGAAATAGACAGGCTAGGTGAGTGGGCAAGAAGGTGGCAGATGGAGTATAATGTGGGGAAGTGTGAAGTTATTCACCTAGATAGTAAAAATAGAAAAGAGGATTATTTTCTAGAGGGGGAGAGACTAGGTATAGTGTCGGAGGGATTTGGGTTTCCTTGTACACCAGTCACAGAAAGTTAGTATGCAGGTACAGCTAATGCCATGTTGGCGTTTGTTGCAAAAGGGTTAGATTACAAGAGTAGGGGAGTCTTGCTGCAGTTGTATAAAGCCTTGGTGAGACCGCACCTAGAATATTGTGTGCAGTTTTGGTCTCCTTATTTAAGAAAGGATATACTTGCCTTAGAGAGGGTTCAGTGTAGATTCACTAGGTTGGTTCCTGGGATGAGGGGATTGACCGATGAGGATAGGTTGAGTAAACTAGAATATAGAAGAATTGGAGGTGATCTTATGAAACCTTTAAGATTCTTAAGGGTCTTGTCAGGATAGATGCTGTTTCCCCTTGTTGGAAAATCTAAAACTAGGGGTCATAGTCTCAAGATTAAGGGTCAGCCTTTGCGAACTGAGTTGAGGAAACATTTCTTCACTCAAAGGGGAGTGAATTTGTGGAATTCTCTACCCCAGAAGGCTGTGGATGCTCAGTCTTTGAACATATTCAAGACTGAGGTTGATAGATTTCTGAAGGATAGAGGGATTAGGGATATGGGAATAGGGCAGATAAATGGAATTAGATTAGATCAGCCATGATCTTATTAAATGGTGTGGCAAGCTCGAGGGGCTGAATGGCCTACTCCTGCTGCTACGTCTTATAGTCTTATGGATTGACTGTATTTTGTGGGTGAAATCTAGTGGAAGAAGAGAATGTATTAGTACTTTCAGCTAATTTCTGGAAAAATATATAAAACCCAAACAATAAGTTGAGACAAATCGTTTTATTTAGATATTCTACAGATACATTTGGTTTCAGTACAGGTAACACATCGTGCATTAGGTTGCCTGCAAATTGGACAGACCGCATAAAAAGTCACTCAGGCTGGAAGAATTACAATGAAATGTACATATTTGCCTATTTACATAAACTTGATAGACAAAGTCAAATCATTTCATGTTCAATAAATGTGGGTGAACCCGGAGAGGTAGGGGTGGCCTGAATGGGGTCAATTGTAATTTTTTTTGCTGGGAACACAGATTCTTGGGTAATAAACCTCATGGTATGGTTATTGGGTGAAAAACATTAATGTATTTCTGCCCAATTTCTATTGTATTTCTGTGTTGGATTGCTCTTTTAAAAAGCCAGCACACACAATGGGTTGAACAACCTTCTGTGCTGTAAATTGCTATGGCTAAATCAGAATGGAGTTTGCCCCCCCCCACCCTCCAGGTAAGATGGACATTGGGTCTTAAGGTTCATAACTGTCTGTCCAGTGCCTTGGGACGTCCTCCCGATATGAAAGGCGCTATACAAATGTAATTTTGTTGTTTACTGTTGTTCAAACATTTACTTCTTGCATAACTTTTTCATGATAATTGTTTTAAACCAAATCTTGCTTTGGACTATTCAAAGAGACTCAGCTCAGTTTTGATGGCATTCTATACATTTTTACATTCTATTTCTGCAACCAGCAGAATCGGCAACCACTGATTCATGAATGGCTCTTTAGTATACCAGAATTTTTTTTATATAAAAAGGTTAACATTAAGTGAAAGTACTTCAGAATAAACCCCATCCAATGCTGCAATGCAAATTTCAGGTATGGTGAGTATACATACATCTTTGGCAACACTGGTACCAGTTTTCATTACAAATGCAAGATTAAATGAAATAGACTGTTCAATTTATACCCACTTAATTTATATCTTACTACAGTTTAATTAAATCTCAATTTTACATGATTAAACTTCAACAAATGCCTATTTAATCTAGAAAGCTAGAAAAGAAACACAAATCTTATTTCATTCATATATGACATAAAGAAACCCTCACACCCAAATCAGAAGTTAATATCACATCAGTTTATATCAACTTCCAAATCATCCCAAAACAGGAGTAAAACAATAAATGTATTTGTAAGTATGTTGTTGATAGAAGATCCAATGAAAAAAATACTGTGAGATGTCTCAACCTTCTAATCCAAGCATAAGAAAGGACATGGCCAAGTGAACAGTCTTGTAAGTAACTTGTGTCAAAATCCAATACTTGACATCCCAACCCACTGGAGTTTGAAGAAAGCTACTGTATTCCTAATGTGAAAAAGGAAAAAAAAACATTTAAGACGTTCCTGCACAATAATAATTAGATATCTATATTTTCAGGTTAAATTTGTTGAAATGATTCTAATTTTCCTCAATGCACGACTTAGAATAATGTTACATTAGGTCTACATTAACCGCATCTAGAAGCTAAGTCACAGATGCGTAGGATAGTCTAGTAATTAAAGAAAGGTCCCATTTAAACTCATGCTACTGAATATAGTGGAAAGTGTATATTTTACAGGGCTGGTAATCATTTTTAAAAAAGTCAGTTCACTGTACTGTTATTATTGCTGAAATGGAATTGTCACTGGGAAACAGACATGGGACACATGAGCTATCAGATGAGGAAATTAGAGTCTCTATGTCAAGCAATCGCAGAAAAACGCACGCATGCTCCAGAAGCATAAGAACAAAAATTACAAAGCTGAAATGTTGAGTTCCTTTCAATGCAAGCAATGGTTAATATTTTCCTGTACAATTTCAGATAAGCCTGAGTTCTGGTTCAAAGACTGGAGCCGGAAAATACAACAACAACAACAAGATTCCATTTATAGAGCGCCTTTCACATCGGGAGGACGTCCCACTGTACTTTGCTGTAACAATGGCTCAGTCCCATAGCAGTCGACAAACTATTCACGTTAATAAAACTAAAGCATCAATGTGTGGCATACTCTTCAAGCCAGCCAGTAATATTCTGTGATTTTGAAAGTTCTGAAGAGAACTACCAAATCTGATTCCCATTGTCTAGAAGCCTTAATGTCTTGTCTCTGATTGCCTACTGACTAAACCACACAATGACAAAATGGAATAACATTTTAGGACTAAAAGAGGGGAGTGGGAGCATTAACTGAAGAGAATGGAAAACAATAAGTAAAGATCATACCAATCATACCAGTCTATATTCTGCCAGTGGTAATGGAATATATTCCTTTACTAGGTGAAATAGCTTTGCTGTCTTTCAGGAGGCCGAGTATGGGATATTCAAGGTATCTAGATCCAGGAAATAAATTAAGAACAGTATTACAATACTAACATTTGAATAGTCTGACATTTAGCTTCACATTCTCAATTAAATCAGCACAAACTTGAAAAGCAACGCTGCAGTAAAATGTCAACGGATTACAATTTTAGCATCACTTGCATTCCTGTGGTTTCCTTAGAATTTCACAGAACTAATGGCAAATGGACAGAAACTTTGCATGTTTTATCATTTATTAATCTTTTTAGAAATGGAATAAAACTCACTCAAAATATTCGTACTCCCATTATTGGAGGTGTGAATATTTTGAGTGAGTTTTATACATACACGCATTGCATCTATTTTACCTAGTTGCCTGTGCAAATAAGCCCATGCTCTTATCTGATTCAGAGATCAAAACAGGAGGATCTTCATGCTAATTTACTGTCAGCAAGTCTTTTGGAGATCATGTTACTCAAACCCAAGTGAATTCCATTGAATTCCAAGTTGTTGGAGACCAACTTGATGTAATGCATACTAGTCATTCACCTGAATGCAGTCTTAAAAAAAAGTTTACTTTTTTATCTCACCAAGTTACAGTGCTTTCCATAACACAACAATAAATTGGATTTATATAGTGCCATTCACATCGGGAGAGTGTCCCAAGGATCTGACACTTGCAATATCATGCATTTCCCATCATTGAAATGTTGCATGCTCAGTGCACATATGGTGTATACGTGTTGCACACATTCAAGTTTTTAATAAGTGTCTAAAAGACAATGGCCTCAATGCAGTAATTTGAGAAATGGTTATCATGCTTTTGGGGAGAAAAAATAACATTCATACATACAAATAAACTTGTATGTGCTTTGACATAATTCAATCAAAACACTTAAAATAGATTGCTGGCAGTTTGAGAATTCAATTTGTGTCAACTACATAAGCTAACAATTCAATTAATTCTTCACACGTAATAATATTAATAAAGTAAATTACCGCTTTGTGATGATTGTTTGTGATATGTTCTTGTCTGGTCCACGTGATGACGATTTTAGTCTCATGATTTCCTGGGAACGAGGTTAAAACAATCAAATGACAAGTTAATAATGTTTGAAAACAAAGCTGGGAATAGTTGCTTCATGTGACAAAGTGGGTGAGATAAACAATACCCACACTCCTACCCATTTGTTCTCGTCTTTCAAGATCAGCCAAACCTACATCCTGGTCTCTGTCCTAAAATAATCCTTAACAACCTTGGATCATGTTCTGTTGTCCTTTAGATAATTCTGCCCTGACATAAACATGTTTTGTGGATCAATAGAATTGAAGAGATTGGTTGCATGATTGTGTGCAACTATGTGTGTAGCTATTTGCCTTGATTAAAGTATATTCTTGTAAATGTTAAAGTGGCTTCAATAGTCAAGGGTCAGAGTTTCATGGTAACTGAAAATAATATGTTACAGCATCGAGATCCTGCATGGTGAATTCAGCAGGTGTTATATACCACATTTATATCTGAACCAAGAGTTGATCTGCTCCAGGTATAATGACACAGAAATATCAGCAGTGTGTATTCATATTGCTCCTTACAGCACCTCTGAGTGACATTCATTAATCAGCAAAGGCAGGACAGATGCCAGGACTTGATATCACCATGTCAACCATCTGTTGTCAGGCAACCAAAGCATTTATCAGGAGATTCCAGCTTAATCCTGGTCCTATTGGAGGGCCAGAGCGCGCAAGATTTCATATATTCCTCACTAACACCGACAAGTGGTGGTGCAGTGCTGTTATAGATCTGCAGACACAGATCCAACATATGCTGGAAATGCTATTATAATTATGTAATGAAAATCTTGCTGTGTCAGAAAACATCCCTTCCCCTGTCTTGTGTATTTCAGTTTGCACAAATACACAGGCAGGAAATCCGATATGACTTGACAATGTTAATGAGTTCAGATGGAAGCTAGAATGACTTGAACCCACCTCATGCTGTTCTTTGATGCGGGTCTCCTTCTCGCTCAGCATGCTCATGTATTCCATCAGTTTCATCTTTAAGCTGCTTGAATTGTCTTCGTCTGAGCTCATATGCTGCTTCAGGCTGTTGATTTGTGACTGAAAATGTTGAATAAATAGCAACAAACTGAATAACCTGTGCCTAAAGGGCATAAATTAGTTCAAATGGCATAGATTCTCCAACCTCTTGGGTAAGAAATTCACTATTAAACTGCAGTTTTGCCCACAAATATACAGTCAATTCACTTTACTGTATATTCTGTGACGCGCATTGAGACCTTAAGAAGACATGAAAAGTGCTATATCAAATGCAAGGAATATTATTATTCATTACACGACACAGTTAGTGTTGATCTGAAAAATGCATTGAATAAATGCAAACTCCATATCATTTGAAAATTAATTGTAGGAAAGTCCATCTTAGTGGTGAAAACCACATTCTTCCATTGAATAGTTTGCCAGGGGAAGTATTATAGTTTTTAAAATATCAAACAGTTTATACAATAAGCACCCTGTCAGTTGGAATGGTATATTTAGATAGACAATACCTCAATTATTCGTTCTTTATTAGAGCTCAACAGCTACAACACCAATTAACCTGAAATAAAGCTATTTTCCCCAAATTACAGAGTTGGGAAAGTTGACCTTGATCAGATGCAGTTGAAACCATATATTGTATGCACATGTTAATAATGACTTGTTAATGAATTGTTCCTGAGAATGAGCGTAAAGTTGAAAATTATTAGGAATTCTTAAAGCAAACTGCTATAGAAAGGGCAGAGGGACTGTATTATCAACAGCACAAAATAAATAAAAACTTCCTTACCCTCAAAGCATTGACCTCCTTGTCCTTTTCTTCACGGAGTTTGTTGACCATTTCATAGTAATTGTTAGAAATCTCCAGGTTAAATGATGAGTTGATGGACGCACTTGATGGGCTCCGAGTCAACTGCAAACAACAAGAGTTTAACCAGCAAGAAATGGCTGTCAAAATAAGTTATTCTGTCCCTTTCACAAAATTAATGTAATTTAATATCAAATACTGTAATTAAAATTTAAAGAACAAAGCCTACACTGAGGTTTTAGATATGTGTATATGCTGAGTTATCAAGTCCACCGCACGATACTAATCGAGAATGGAACTAAACACATTCTGGAGTAACATCTTGTTTGGATTAACAATTGGGAGGACATAAATCTGAGAAACAATCTGAGAAAAACACGGTATTTCACACAGAGTTTTAGCCAATGATGTAAATCTGCTAGTGTTCAGAATACTGGTCTGTCAGAGCCACTGGTGTTTGGATTAATGGCATTGGACTGTCATTTTTAAATAGCATAAAAAATAATCACAGCTCTGTCAAAAATGTAAACGAAATTCACCAGACATCTGTCAGGGTACTAGTAGCCAATGCAATAAATCAGAAAACAGTTTTTCTAGCGGGCTTTTCCAGGAACTAAAAGGATGACAAGGCTCCCTTAAAAGGTTTTCACTGTGAGCCAAATGACATTGTTGAAGTCTGCAGAATCAGAATTCTGCCAAATCAATGCAAGGTAGACTAAATACAGTATCTGATATCGCACAAGGATTTTACTGCAATATCAATCAGCCATTCACCTTCAGATTCAGCTGAGGCACTCTGCTTTATCACAGACTTGAACCAGATGACTGTATAATCATTTTTTTTGTAGTGTGTAAGGAAGATATAGATCACCTTTCAATCCAGGGCTAGGACAAAAATCAGATCATCTACATTGAAAAATTAAAGCTTAATTTAAGCCAATTTGAATGCATTTCATTTTAAAATGTGATGTGCAAAGAGGAACATACGATCAAATCTTTGACTGGTCATTGCGATGGCAGATGTCCACATCTAGGAGTCACTGCTGCAATAAACACTGTTGTCTTTTTAAAAAACTATTCCTATTGATTAGGATTTGTGTCTGAGCTTTTCAGTAATTTATGCCACTGATCTCTGGCAGTAGTGTGTAGAATTTCTGGCATCCTAGGGAAGGCCATCTGTCTGCTTGCTACATCTTTAATCAAACTTTATAATTCTGAGGATTCATATTATGTCTTTCCAAATATGGTCCACCTTTATAATCCTTCTCCCAAGACATCAATTAGTTGCTTCAAATTAAATTGTAGACAAAAAAAGGGGGAGCGGGGGGCAGAGGGAAAAGTATACAAGTGTCTCCTATTTATGTGTTGGTTGTAACCGAATATTTTCAACTCCCATAAGTCAATTGTGGAGTGTTCCCAAGAGAAGATAAGGCTTCCTCATCGAAAACAAACCATCACTTTCACAGATAGAGATACCATTAGGTCAAGCCCAGACTTAGGCACACGGAGGCACAGTTGTAAAACTGAATTGTAAATCCTGGATTGCTTTTTGGGATGTGAGTTATCACTCTTTGGCATGCTGGCATAAAAATGCTTAGCAGAGTAAAAACAATCAGGTATATATTAATCCTTCATTCAGAAATCAGAAACCCATCAATTTTGACTTTGATATTTCTGTAATTGTTAATTTAGAAAAAAATTCCTTATAATTATTTCTTAGAAAACATACGATTAAGTTAAAACAAATTGATGATCTTAAGTCTTTGTTCCAAGTGCATACTGAAATATTTACCAACATTTTAGTCTATTGTAGTCAAAATAATGTTTCCACATTCATGTATAGTTGGTAAGACTCGGTGTGGATGAACCTGATTAAAAACTGAACAAACAAATTAAAAAATGTATTTCTTTCCTTTCAATTTCTATTTTGCTTGAATGAAATATGCGACAATCAATTCTGTGAAAGTAACTAAGTCGTTTATCTACCTGTTGTCTGAGTGCCTCGATCTCCTGTTCCAAAGCTCTCTTGCTGTATTCTAACTCTTTCACGCGGAACTCTTTATCTGCCTCTGAATTTCTCAGAGTCAAGACCAACTCCTCAAGAGATCGGTTATTTGTGCTGTTCTCCTTAATAGAATTCTGAACCAAAAATACAAAGTAAATTAGCAGCTTAGAAAATGTAACACAATAAATAAGCACATCTGCACAACTACACAATTATCTACCTGCAGTGATCGGTTGCTGTCTCTCACGGTCTCCACAATCTGTATATATTCCTTCAACTGTTGAGATTTAAAGTTCACATCTCTTTCAAGCATCTCTTTATCTGATGTAAGTCTCTGCAGAAAAAAGTTAAATGTTTTATTCAAATGAAAATGACAGTGTATGGGTTTTTCATTGACATTGGGCAAAATAGGATGCATAAACTTCATAGAACAACAGTCAGTCTCGGATTTCTAGGGGACCTTTAAGATACCTCAGTGTGAGTATGAACTGCCTGATGTGACACTGAACCAATTCAAATCAGGAAGGCCTAATGTGGTGTCTGTTCCGGAACTGTGGAAGTCAGCCAGAGCAATACCAGGGATGCTAAAAGTAGCTTATTTTTCCTGAGCTAGAAAGGAAGGGGAAAAACTCAACAAGGATCTAATTCCTAATCAATATTTAATGCTTTGCCGGAAATTGCATATTCCTGGGAAAACAGAAATAAACTGATCTTTAATACTGGCTCCCAGCTTCATAGCTTGCCATTTATTGTCCTGACTTGAACATGAGGAATGGTTCATTAAGTATGGTATCAGATAGTTTGCAAACCCCAGCAAATCTAACATGTGTCAGTCCTTTGGGGTAGAAAACAAGGGGAGGGAAAACAAATCTTAACCAAATGCAAAAGTGATTGTATGTTTGAAATAATAGAATAATAAATAATAATAATAATCCTTGCATTTGATATAGCGCTTTTCACGTCGGGAGGACGTCCCAAAGCGCTTCACAGAACACACTGTAAAGTGAATTGACTGTATATTTGTGGGCGAACGCGGCAGCCAATTGAGCACAGCAATGTCCCACAAACAGTCGTAGATTCAAAATGACCAATTTATTATTGTTTTTGGTTTTGGAGGGATTATTATTAGGCGTGTGGAGTAAGGAAACTTGCCCGAGGTTTCGCCCTGCCTGGAATTGAACTCAGGTCTCTCGCTTGCAAAGCGAGTGCTCTAACCACTGAGCTACAGGACTCCTGTAGCTCAAATGAACTTTGAGAGTCATCAGAGATTTATATACTTCCTGGAACACTCAGTTCAATTGCCGAATGATTTTAGAAGAATGCTCCAATGATTTTTTTACGGCTGTTTTGGGACTCTGGGAGAATATGAGGGACACTGTATAAATGCAAGTTGTTGTTGTTTTATTCCATGCTCAAGACCATTGCTTAGCAGAGACACGCAACCAGAAAAGTGGTGTAGATTTAAATTCAGGCTATACTGGCTACCTAAGACTAAATAATGCCTCCTTGATATTATGTGAGTTTATGTAAATCGTAACAATTCAGGAACATTATTTGCATTTCAGACAGTTAAACTTCTCAGACGTACATTTAGATCATCTTGTAGATGCAGGAGGTCCTCACGCAGGCTCCGAAATGTGGACAGGAGCAAACGGAGAGATCTGTCCACAGTGATTCTCATCTAAAGAGAGCATGTGTACAAGAACGTCAAGTCAGCCAGCTATAATAGTTTCTAAGCAAGGTATAGAGTCCTTGAAGGCAAATCACTGAACTGAAAACATCGGAACTGTGGACTTCTGACAACTAACCTCTCAGTGACCAATAATGGGTCAGAAGTGGCAGTTTTTATCCCTTTAATATCAAAAGGAATAAGTTGGTAATCACTCCACTTCACAGGAGACTGAAGATACAGTTAGTGAACTTTGTGTAAAGGTGAGTCATTCATTCTACAAATTGTTTTCCTAGAATCACTTGCTACAAGATAACTGCAATTATTTTTCTGGCCGGTCAACTGATAAACCTTAACAATGACTAAATTGTAAAACTGGAGCTACATTTGCACAAGGAGGTGCATCTTACAGCAAGGCCAAGAATTTTTTTTCCACTGCATTCACTGGTTGACAAAAAAAAAGAAAACCTCTTAGCTCATAAATAAGGCTCAACCTGAACCGGAATCTGCATCTAAAAATTAGAACAAAATACAAACAAGCTATTCTTACTGGATTTAATGACTCCTCTATTCAATTCGAGTAACTGTGAGATGTTTCAGTTTTACTCTTATAATACACATCAGATTGTGTTACCAAAGCTTGTAGCTAGCATGACACGTAAGCATGTCGTGATATTACTGAAAGCTCTTTTAGCTTAATCAATAAATGATGTTCCTGTAATGCCACCTAGCAATGCTGATAAACAATAAACTATTCTTGACTCGTTGCCAAATACACAGTGCAAAGGTAAGCCTGAAATGGACTGAACACATCAATAAAATGGTTGCTACGGTGATAAATGGCCTTTTGATGCAATCCTCCCAAACAAATGGCCCTATTGTCACCTGTTACAGTATTTCTATTGGTGATTGATACCTGTTACTTATTTATAATTATTTATAATGATCCTTGCATTTGGTATAGCTCCTCAGCTATACAAATTTGATACATCTCAAAGCGCTTCACAGAATATACTGTAAACTGTATTATTGTGGCAAAACCTGTAATTTACCTGTAAGAGGTAGCGTATCTGTTGTTTGGTCAGTTCAGATACTCCTTTTGGTATCAGCGACTCAATGTCTTCATTGGAATCCTGCAAAATATTACACACAAATGGAGACTCCTTCTGAGAAACAGAAATATATCATGTTGACCCATAAGAACTGCACTTCAACTAATCTAATCCTTGAGTGGAGTTTGTGGGTCAAAAGGATTTCAGGAATACCAAAGAATTGCCTTTCAATGTTGACTCGTTAACTGTGACTCTCATTCTACAATCATATTTCTTCTGCCAGAGGAGTGGTGAAGGAATGAGTCCTCTACAACTCCCAGCAGGTATGTACAGATCAATCCAGGCCACCAGATGGAACATAGGCCAGCTGACAAACAAGATCAATCTGCATACCAGTAGCTTGAAGCAACAGCTTATCTGAAGAAATCTGGTTTAGAAATCAGAGAAGAAATACAGCAAACTTTTCACTTTGTTTTTGAATGCCAGATGTCATGAGCCAGTGTTGTCCAGCAGCCAAGATAGGCAGGGGGCAAAGCTCTGATTGCAGCGTGTGTATTAGTGACTGAGAATGGCAGCTGTTATGTTTCCCCCACCTATGGGCTGTGAAAATCACCCCTGGATGAGTCCAATTTATGAGCCGGCAAGAACACATTTTGTGTACACTCTGCCAATTTTGCAATTTGCTCTCTTTTTATTGAGCAGTTGGCATGGAGGACTCTGGAAGGCTAACCATCAATCATCAGTACTCAGCCTTGGGAACATGAAGGTGGTAGGTCCAAACAAATGGCTTGTTTTAATGTAAAAAATTATAACTGGATTTTATGTCCCAATATATAAAGCAGTGTTAGGAATCATGGATATTCATAGCAGAACTGTGCAGTGATTTAGCTATTTGCATTGTTTTTAATATTGGTATTAAAGTATTAAGTATCTTGCATTGTAGCAAAAAAATCTGTATCAGTGAAGTAATTGTAAGTACACAAGTGTTTATTCAGTTATCAAATGAAAATCACAGCCACTTACATTGTATTCCTTGTTCAACTCCAAGTAGTATCTCCTGTTGAAAAAAATGGCAAATTAAAGATCTCCTCTTTCAGAAGTATAATACTTTTAAATGGCAAACCGGATGAAAAGATAAGAGGAAAAACTTCAATCATTTAAAATCACTGTTTATTATTAAGATATGCTCATATAATTACAAAGGCTGGAAGTTATGACTTGCTGGTTTTCTACTTTGTATATATTATACCTGCAAGCGCCACATCACACTGAATCCAGACTCCCACAAGGAATTTCTCTCACAAAGAATGTGTTTAATTTTCACCTTAATGGACAACATTCATTTACCCCAAAAACCTACACCTACTGCTTGAAAAAGAAACTCAGACACAAACCAGCATGTGGAAGTTTATTTTTCTTTAGATATGTGAGTCATTCCTGGAATCTTTGTTCTTGACCACGAGTCGACATGCAGTCAGCACAGAACCAGCTGACAGATGCTGTCTGCATAAACATCTATTTTATTGTAGAAAAAGTGTACATCCACCTGGAAGGCAGATGGGGAGGAAGACAACAACTGGGCTTGGGGATGGGAGTGGGAGTGGAGGAAAAGATTTAAATTCACCTCATGTTTTTTCTGCGTGGGTACAGTTTTGACCAAGGCTTCTTTGTTCTGCCAGTATTAACATTAATCTGTGCACTGGCACAATCCTTTACTGTAGTATGGCGCTAGGGTCTGATTCCTTATTCCATTCGAAGTTCATTTGACTTGTTGTTTGACAGAATTTAAAATATAAAAGTATAAGCCCTTACAATTCCATCACAAGCCTGGTGGTACTGTGCATGTTCTATATTCGGCGGTGGTGGTGGTGGGGGGAGAGGGGGGGGTGCGGGAGGTACTGTGCAAGTGAAGTTTTAACACACTGTGGAACAATCCAAGCTTTATCCTCTCATCACCCCACCCGCCCAATGAAAGATAGTATTTGATTCGATACTGGATTAAAAACTAAGTAGGATAAAAAGAATTAAGATGCTGTAATGCTAGACTGCAGAAACAGACTAGCCCTAAGCTAATTGACCGAAGACTGTGAAGATGTTGTTTTGGAGTTGGGACTGGAAGTGTGTGTTGCCACCCTATAATGAAACAGTGTTCAAACAGGTAATTATCTATAATTATGCTGGCGAAGTTCAGGTGCTTACAAAGAGCAACAATGTGTTGCAAACTTGCCTTCCACAAATTGGACGATGCATTTGGCCAGACTATTTGCGTATTTGGAACATTTAGGTATTAGGACCCAGTGCCATTTTAGCACTACAATTAGATGAGAAAGAATAATAATAATAATAATCCTTGCATTTGATATAGCGCTTTTCACGTCGGGAGGACGTCCCAAAGTGCTTCACAGAATATACTGTAAAGTGAATTGACTGTATATTTGTGGGCGAACGCGGCAGCCAATTGCGCACAGCAATGTCCCACAAACAGTCGTAGATTGAAAATGACCATTTTATTATTGTTTTTGGTTTTGGAGGGATTATTATTAGGCGTGTGGAGTAAGGAAACCAGCCCAAGGTTTCGCCCTCTGCCTGGAATTGAACTCAGGTCTCTCGCTTGCAAAGCGAGTGCTCTAATCACTGAGCTACACAAAAAAAAATCCAGATGCTCATCAAATTCACTCTCAGGAGAATCCCCACAATCCACTTCCCTCACAGTGTACAGCGACACATCTACCTTAGTGCTGGAGCTGCTAAATTGTGGCACAGAGTATCACAATTTAGTTGCTATCAGTAGTGGTGCCTGATTTCTCTCCCTTTACAGAAGGAGGCACAAATTAAGTATTAATCAAATGGGGAAACTACCCATAAGACAAGAAGATCTGTTCACATATTAATTAATTTGATGAATAGGATTTAAGCAACGAATAGCTATGAGGTGAAATTCCACTGCCAGATATTGTTACCCCATTATGCCAAGGTTGGCAGTGTCCCAGACAAGAAAATGACTTGCCTCTTGTTCAGTATTTTCCCCATGAAACCAACCAAGAAACCCAACTAGTCCAATATAATGGCCAGAATTTTACTGGATACCAGATGCAGACATTTTACAATGTGCAACTTATGGTCATAAAGTGAACTACATTGTGACATTAACCAGCATGAGTTAGAGAATCATTGGTGCTTTGCAGGCTCCAGCTGGCCCCTGCTATTATGCTGATAACATCATGATATGAGCATTAAAATGGCAACCTCATGCCAAACTGTTTTGACTAGACGTGAAATACCTAAGGAATGGATTGGCGCCTGCATATCAAGTCAGATTATAATGTGGTGACAACTGTAAAGAGTATTCTTAGCTCAATGTTTTCAACAATGCAGATCTATCTGAGTGACTTGCGTCACTCGGAAATCTTCTCTAGATTTGCTTCACAGTAATGATGACCACAAGATTGTTTACAGATCAATCATGATTGATTTCCTTCCTTATGCTCTGCACTGAGTAACTGCAGTGATTACACAGACTACCATACCAACTGAACTCCTTATGGTGTTATTCTTTGTATTCAGCCCCACCTTCACCAGGCTTTTGTTATAAAGGGGGTCAGCCGACATTCTTGTAAGTAAATAGTTTAATACCCCTTCCCTCACAGCTTAAGCATCATTTATTTTGCAGTGATTTACTTCTCTTCTGCATTGTTTTTTTTCCACTCCCAAATATCTTTTCTTCATGCCTCGAGGTATGATTCTAAAGGGACTTGCCATACTCACAAAAGATCTTTTTACTGCATGAATCCAAGCTACTTGATAATGCGGAGGACATTACAGCAAAGTATAAGTGAACAAGCAAATATGCAGCGAACTCTTGAGTGTCATCTTTTAATTACCAACCTGGCTACCTGCAGTAAATGGGATAAATCCAAGCAAAGCAACCATTAACTAACCAATGGCTTTGCCAAGCTTCTATCAACAGGAGCAATAACTCTTCTGCAATTAGAATTGCTGTTCAGATGTCTGCAGTACAGGAAGTTTTCCTATTTTCTTTGTAAAACCTGACTTGCACTCTCTTGGGGATAAAGAAACAATCCAGTTCCTCAGAAAACAAAATGTAGCTTCTTAGTGAATTATTTGAATGAAGCAGCGGAGTCCTGTAGCTCAGTGGTTAGAGCACTCGCTTTGCAAGCGAGAGACCTGAGTTCAATTCCAGGCAGGGCGAAACCTTGAGCAAGTTTCCTTACTCCATACGCCTAATAATAATCCCTCCAAAACCAAAAACAATAATAAATTGGTCATTTTTAATCTACGACTGTTTGTGAGACATTGCTGTGCGCAATTGGCTGCTGCGTTCGCCCACAAATATACAGTCAATTCACTTTACAGTGTGTTCTGTGAAGCGCTTTGGGATGTCCTCCCGACGTGAAAAGCTCTATATCAAATGCAAGAATTATTATTATTATTCTGTAAATACTCATTTGTGTACGCAGGTTTTATATGTACAGAAAGTTATTTACATGTTCAGAATGTACACAACCATCCAGAAATTAAAACCTGAAGCTGATTACCCCTAGCAGCAAGGCTCCGTATACCTGATAACTGAAATGTAGAGCACTTTCAATGATGAGCGAGCTTAATGGCATACCAACCATAACCGCTAATATAATTGAACAAAATGGATTTAAAAAGGTGACAAGAAACAACTGTAGTGACCAGTGGATGCCAAATTCTTGCCAGCTGATTAAGCTTTATTAAGATAACCTAGAGAACATGATGGGGCTCTTACAATGAAGCTGTGTGATCTGGTCGGATTGTGGCACAAGGTTCTTAGGTCATTTTTCTCATGCAAAACACAAAGTATTTAAAATTTAAAATGATAAAAGGGTTCGATAGGTTAACATGAACACTGGGGATTCCATAACTAGCGGTCACAAATACAGGATAGCGACTAAGGGATCTAAAAGAGAATTTAGGAGAAACTATTTCAAGCAGAGCGTAGTGAGATTAATCAGATAGTGCAGTTGTATTTAAGAGGAAGCTCGACCTTCACATGAGAGAGAGGGAAAAAGAAAGTCATGGGAGGGACTTCGGAATGGGTGAAGACTTGTGTGAAGTATAAACACTGGCACGGACTAATTGGGTCAATTGGCCTGTTTCCATACTGGAAATTCTTTGTAAAATTTTGTAAAATTTATGCATATGTTGCAGAAGTCAAGTACCATATTGAAACACAGCATCACAAGACAGTAGTTCTGCAAATACTTGTTTGTGTACACAGGTTTTACATTTTCAGAAAGTTATTTACATATTCAAAATGTACACATTCATAATGGAAATATCAGCCATTTTAGAGAGAGCAGCAGATTGTTTGCAATTACTTATGCTCCACTTGATACTAATTTGTAGAACTTCTGCAAACCCATCAAAAGCATCTCATTAAATTCCCTGCCAAATTTTCCACCATAATTAGGACAAATACAATTTCAGCTTGTCTCAGCTATTTTGCACATCAGTTAGCAAACAGAGCTTACGTTTGTAATGTATGCAGGAATCTCCTGACTTCATAGCATATGAGAGCACTGTTCTCCAGACAGATTACTAAACTAACAGAATTTAAGCACTTCAGAAAATCCATGTTCAGCATTAAGAATGAACATATGATCGCTGGACAAATGAAAACCAGTCACTAGGATCTAGGATGGAAGCTTGGTTGAAAGAACAGGTGAGTTCAGTATAATTGATCGTTACACCGTATTTACTTTCAAATGATCGTTTTCACCCAGAATTTGACAGCTTGAATTAATTTGAGTAACATCATACAGCGCGAGCAGCAAGACTCTTTCAATCCCAAGTTTGCAAAATTTTACTCGTCTCACTTTTGTAAGAACTAGTTTCAAGAATTTTAAAAGTGCCCGTTTCAATTTCTTGTGCATCAGGTTAAGAGGACAGATTGTGCACTGCAGTTGAGATAGTTTCTGTCTGAGCTGCGGCTTATACCATTTGGTAGTGAAATAGTGTCACAAATCAGCTAAATTCCACTGTAGAAAAGTGGCCCTTGTGCTAACAGAGGTGACACCTTTCATGATAGGCTTGCATTAATAATAATAATAATCCTTGCATTTGATATAGGGTCTTATCACGTCTTCGAGATGTCTCAAAGCACTTCACAGAATATACTGTAAAGTGAATTTTTGGGGTGAAATGCGGCAGCCAATTGCACACAGCAGCGTTCCACAAACAGGCAGTGACCAAATTATTTTTATTTTTTGAAGGAACTAAAAGCGATCTGCCAATCAACTAAAAACCAGGTTCCTACTTTCTGGATGTGGTTAAGACTATAAATACATAAAATGTCTTGACGCAATTCAACACAACGTTGGTCTGTTCATACTCGTTTGTTAAGTAAAATCCACTATCATTTTCAAAAAACGAAACACCTTCAGGTCAATTTTCAGAACCAGAGAGGATGATAATGAAGTGTGCACTTACTTTCCTTTAATTTTCTGTACATTGTCTGACAGGATGCTGTGGACTTCACTGGTCTTGCGCTTCACTTCAGCCAACAGCTCACCGAAGTAGCGAGGATCGAGTTTCAATGAATTACCACTTTCGTAATCCATGCCACTCTTGATCTGGTCGACAAGAAAATTACTACAATTACTAACATTTCACATAGCTTGATGTTACATGGCATTTAACAGGAATATCTGTTGTACCAGTAAAGTAATTCAGCACACCTTCTATTCTCATATAATTTAGTACTATTGTTTTCTTATCTGGACAGCTTACATTATTGAACGCCACTTTATTAGGATGCTTTTAAATATCAGATGAGAAGCTCACATCACTACCTGAGCAAGTAATGCTGCAATACATTGTTGTTCAACCATTTATGCTAGAGAGAGAGATAGAAAGCAGCTTCCCATCCAAAATATCTTGCACGCAGGGATTTAAGTCCTCCCGACGTGAAAGGCGCTATACAAATGGAAGCATAGATTACATCACTAAAAATAGAATCATATCATCTATTTTGCTGGAACTTATTCAAATCAATTAAACAAAAGTCTAAATTTGCATGATACGCCTCCATAATTATCTCCCCACCTCCAAGGTAACCTTACAAAATGATAATGGTACCAGAAGTAAATATCTTTGTGTTCCAAAGAGCATTTGATAGTCTTGGGTTTAGAGTGCTCTCAAAATATAGAACCAAGCCTTTTTGTAACAGCAATACAACATCTACAGGAGTTCTTAGAGTCTATTCCACATATATCAACTACTCCAGTGTTAATGGTTTAAGGTTGCTTTGTGCACCAAAGATTTGACCTCAGGATTCAGGAGCTGAATCAATTGAATTTAGAGTAGGAAATATTCAGAGGAACTTTTGGTCAAGTGTGGGCATTATTCACATTATGTGATGTTTGTACACATGTGAAGATATGTTCAAATGAGGACACAACTCATGCTCCCGTTGCCTCTAGTCTTTCACCAGTGGTCCTAGTTATGGGCTGAGCAAGAAGGGATAAAATCACTACAAGCAGTAAATCACTAAAGACAAGTTCCACTGTACAAAAGTGGCCCTTGTGCCAACAGAGGTGACACCTTTCGTGACAGGGTTGCAATCTGGATGAGGTTAGACTATTAATACATAATATGGCCTGATGCAGTTCAATAGAGTTAGCAGCAGGAAGTAGCATTTGGCTCTGTCTTGTAGTTTAAGTATCTGTCATGCAAACATTGCTGAAACTAGAGACTAGGTGTTGCCCCAGACAACTTCAAAGTTTTTAATGTCCTGATTGATAATTATAGCATAGATCTATTTTGTTTCCACACAGTGACTGCACCTTGCCAGAATGAGCTAAAATGCTAAATTAATGAACTATTAAATCTGAAAAATTCTTATGTTTGTGTAGCTATGAAATACAACAACAAGGGTAATTTGTTGTTATTGTTGTTGTAGCTATAATACTCTTAGGAATGGCATTTTCCACTTGCCAGTAAATGCAACAATATCTCCAGTGTGAAGTTATAGGGAGAAAACCCAATTAGAAACACTCTCAAGGTTCGGCCCCATGTTTACACTGGTTTAGAGTGTTCTGAGATGTTTTCCAATATGAAAAAGGCTATATACTTGTCATTTTATTCCTTCTGAGCACAAGTTTGTTAGTGCTTTAAATTTGCAAGAGCAGAGACCCAGCTGTGGAAAATGAAGGAGTGACTCTTAAATCATATATTTACATTATCAATAATCATAATAATTACATTTGATATAGCAGCTTGTGCATCAGGAGGAGATCGCAAAGCACTTCACAAGATTTACTATAAACTGTAGTGAGTATTTTTGCAGGTGAACACAGCAGCCAATTTGTAAACAGCAATGTTCCATAAGCAGCCATGAAGTGAATGACTAATTTTATCTGGGGGATTGTTGGCCAGGACACCAGGAGACACTCACTTCTTTTTTTGAACAGTGCAGTAGAATCATTAGTGCCCACTTGGACAGGCAGACAAGACAGGTATCCAATTCAAAGAGATAATGTTTTTTTTGTGTACGTGAATATGTACCCGGACGGACACAAGTTACAACACTTGATCTTTGCTAAAGTTAAGAAGCAATGCAACAAAACAGATTGTACATCACAACCAATGAAATGCCAGAACTTACCAAAATAAGGTTGATTTCCATGATCATGACTGGCAACATTCCCATGTCGGTTAATATGCAAATCATATGACAAAGAATGCTTAAGCATCAGCTATCGTGCCATGTCTTTATGCTGTGTATTTCTTCCCTCCCCAATGTTGCATTACCCTTTCTTCAAATTGCCCTGTAAATGAGCCCAATGACGTGCCTTTTCAAATGCTTGTGTCTTGTGACTGAAATCTGCTTTCACACCAGAGCCATTTTAGGCTTCATTAAAGAGGAGTAGCCCCAGTCAATCAATGCCCTCTCGGAAACAAACCCAAACGGTGGTAACAAACCAAAACAGATTTACATTTTGTATTGGCTGTCGAGTTTTGAACTGGTAAAAAAAAATTCAAAAGTGAGAACTGATGTTACGTTCTTCCCATTTGATCTCCTCCTTCCAGAATACAACAACAGTAGCAGCAGCTTGCATTTATATAGCCCCCCCTCCTCACGCAGTGTAACATCCCAGAGGGCTTTACCCACCTGCCCTGCCTTCTCCAGCAAAACACGTTTGGCAATCTGGTTTGTAATAAATCTATAGCTTGTCACATGCTATCAAAAAAGGTTACAACTGGAGTTTTCAAAACAATTACTTGTGGTGAAAACTATTGGACACTGCACCTTGTTTCCACATTTTTTGCTTTTTTTTGGCTTGGCCAAACAAGCCATCCATCAACATTCCAGCCTGAGGGAAAGGAGGACACCATCGATGTTATTTTTCTACCCTCATTTTCTCTCCTCCCTTTCAGGTGTTCTATTTCGTTTACCCTTTTCTACCAGAATAGGCTTTTCTCCGGTACATTGCTCAAGCCACCATTATTCGCATGCCATTTTTGCCAAGCTTTTTAAGCTTTTCAAGTGCTCTGGGACTCTACCTCGCGTGAGGAGCGCTATATAAATACAAGCTGCTGTTGTTATTTTACTGTGGATAGCAGATGGCACCAGGAGTTGTGTGTGTGTTGGTGGGGGTGGGGTTGTTAGGGTTGTGGGGGGTGGGGTGAGTTGAAATTAGAGAGAAACCAATTCCATCCTCAACAAAAGTCCACATGTGTATGTAAAGCTGGCAAGGGTTTCCATATGTTATTGGAACATACTTCTCTTTATGCTGAACATTAACTTGCTACCATTAGACCAGAACACTCTGGGCCCTTACATGCCTTATAAACCACAGACAGTAACAGCTTGCACTCATCCAAAGGCAACTTCCTGTGTGGCTAAATGGGACAGGATTTTGAGTTGGATGCAAAACAAAAATGAAGAAGCAGTTCAGACATGTTCTGCACTATCAAGGGTTATGTTCAGTCAACTCTCTTGACCGTTTTTGCTCATTCAAATCCTGAATTAGCATTATTGAAACAAAACCATTTTTTTAAAAAAAAGTGACTGGTTAAATAAATGAATGTCTCTTGTCAGTGAATGCAGTACCTTGAAAGGAATGTTCAATTGCTTTTGGTTTACATTCATATCTGCTATTCACCAGCGCACATTTCATAATATCTTACAAAAGATGATAACGCTTTGGTGTGTACACTGGAAGCCTGTACAGACTAAACACATGACTACAGCAGAAATCCTTGACTCTTTATCAGATGGTTTCAACAGCTAAGTCCTTATGATTCAGCACCGTGTCAGCAGCCTAATTGATAAAACCTAAATGGCATAATTGAATGCAACACCCCTATATTACTTCATCCAGGATTAATTAAACCAGAAACCTATCCTCGGCAACTTTAAGCACCTTGGAGACGTCCTCCTGCTGTGAAAGACGCAATATAAACGAAAATTTGTATTGTTCTGTAATTCTTTCAAAGCTTCTCTTCAATGATGTAACCCAACAATGCTTAAAATAGAAAATGTCCTTTTGGGCCTCACCAATGCAACTGCCTTGTGAATTGATTTGCACTTCCCCATTAACTAGGTTATTTTGTCCTTTCATGCCTCCTGTAAAACACACTATTCCACAAGCAAAATGACAAATTAGAATCAAATGGTTTCCTAATAAGCGTGGAATCATTCCTCGACCTAAAAAAGCAACTTCATCTGAACTTGTCTGGGCTGTTGACTGGGTTAGGCCATCCAGCCTTTAATTGCACTCAGCTCACTTTAGTGGAACAGACAGACAGACAGTTCTATTAGAGCAATTATATTTAAGTTTATTGTAATAATTCAAAAAACTTTTTCATGTTCCACAGGGGGTGGAGTATCCAATGATTGCTGTTAATCATCTCTGAATTTATCCTCCAAGATGATTACAAACATTTCTTCTATATTTTAGCAGCTTGTATATAACAGAAGCCTGTTCCCAGCACATGCCATTGCTGGGGAAATTAGAGCAGAACATCTCAACTTGAACTGTAATTACCCAATATTGACTGTCTTCGCTGAACCATGAATTTAGCAACCAGTCTTGGGATGTATAATGCAAAATAACTATTTATCTCAATCAGGAGGAAATTGCATGTGTGTAGCAGTGCTTGGCAATATAGCATAGTCACTATATCCAACCTCATATATCACCCCCAGTTCAAATAAGAAGCACCCCCACAAGATTATTCAGAATTTTGTTTCTTTCATAGCATGTGTATGTTTATTTTCTTTAAAATTCTCAGGTTGCAGTCTTTCTTTTTTAAAAAAAACTTTAATTCAAAGAGCAATTACCTGCAACATCTGACTGGGGCTCAGCACAACCCCTCTTTTTAATGTGCTTTGATCAAATGAGCTGTCCATTTCCTGAGAACTGACAGAGCTTCTTGTGCTTGAAGTCTCTCTGTATTCACGTCCCAGGTTTGTTGTCTGTTGGGGAAACAAACAATAGTTTAGACTTCCACGATTGTTTCCTTGAGTCAAATCCAGTAACAGTCTAGCAATCACACGTTGGCTGTTGTCAATCAGTCTCATTAAAACTGCATCTTGGTTTAGGGATGGTGTTCTGGAGGGATGGGATCAGATGGGCCAAAGGCCCTTCTTCATCCAAACCAATCTTGTGATCTCCTCTTTTAATTGGATAGTTTGCATTGAACTTTTCATCTTTATACTTTTTAAAAACAAACTTTGCTTAATATTTGAAATATCTGAGGAGGAGGAGTTCACTTTAATTCATTAATGAATGAATGAATCAGTTATTCTATTTCAAAACAAAGTATGGTTCACGCTAACTGTTTGGTGACGTGCGTCTTTGAATACAGAAACNTTTTTTTCAGTTTAAAATGCAAAACCTTCACATTCACCCACACTTGGCAGAGTCAAATGGTTGAAGTCTTCAATTACCAAAAGATGCAAATCCACAGCCAGTAATCATAAAACGAAGCCAAGTTTTTCTCCCATATTATTAGTTTTGCTCAGTAATTGCTGGGTTTGGCTCTACCATGAAATTGAAAATACAACTCAAGGCTGATTCATTCCTCTTGGATTCAAAACTGGGCTCAATTAGATATGAAGGTGTGTAGGTTTCACCTCTATTCCCCCAAACCAAAGCACAATTCTTATATTCAAATAATGCATTTTATTTCTAACCGGCATCGACTGTGAGGCAAAGGCACTACAAAGATAATTCACGGTGGTTATTTGCAATATCAATCCACTGAACAAAATGGGCTTGATGGGATGAACATTTTCCTAATGCCAGATTCTACTAATGGATCTTTTAAACACCTTAACAGTAAGAATTATGTTCTCCACCAGGTTATTATTACAACCTGTTCTTATTATGCTATAATTATTATTGAGTTATTATGCCAGCACTAAAAAAATGGAAGATTCAATATTTTACCCTTAACTGCAGCAAGTCACTGATAAAAGGATGTCAAGGAGTTCAATCAAATTACAAATATAAAAATGATGGATCAATAATTATATAGTGTACATTGGATCTTGGAGACACTAACTCAGACAGAAATATGTTTGCAAATAATTATTTCCAGTTAAGTTATATTTAATGACATTTAATTTGTTCTCTTACTTGAAACTGATTCTATAAGTATAAAAGATGTATTGTAATAGAAAGATTTAACTTCACAATGAAACATCCCAAAATTAGAACAATTGTGTTACTGTATTTTATTATCACTTAGAAGTCATTATAAGAAAATAGATATTTGTCTGCTGACATGCGTGTAAAACACAACTACTGTACAATGAACCTCATACCTGCACTGGATTGTTTTGATCAAACCTCACAAAGGTCTTCTGCACTATCACTTCAGCCCCTTTGGGAATGTTTATTCCTTTCCTGCTCTGAGCCAGTATGAATTCATGTTGTTTGTTCTGCATCTGTAAACAAAACAAATAGTAGTTTAAATAACAATTTGGACAGTAGTTACAAGTGTTGGTGAAGCCCCTAACTTCAATACAAAACACCTATGAGTTATCGTTGGCACGTATGGACCTCAGTGAATTATATCATAAGATTAAAATGTTTCAAATGTTAAAAAGTTTTGAAAATGTAGAAGTGAAAGGATTGGTGAATCATTGTACGTCTAACTTTAAAATCATCTTAGCTACGTAAGAAAGCCTTTAAAAGTAGAAACTCAATCTTGGGAACTTATGGCCATATGTAAACTCCAAGGGTGTAACTGTAGCAATTTAGTGAAAGTGCAATAAATTTGACACATCATACATCAAAGCACATCACTTAAATGTGATTGGCGGGAGGAACAAAGAGCACTGTGGCACCTCACCAAAACGGCTATAATTTCCTTTTTGAACAGTGAAAGCCAGAAAGGCATTTCGCTTCAGGGGATTGTCACCAAGCCCCATTCCGTTTTCACCTGATGTCCGTACAGACACCCCCTGCTGAAGCTGTTCAGTATAGTACTCAGCAACAGGTAAACGGGCTGATTTTAGCAGCTTAAACCAGACCTCTGAGTCCAGTGGCTTTGATAAAATAACAGATGAAATCCTGTGTTATATCAGCTGAAACCAAGGATGAAACCTGGAACCTTGCCAGTCGGTATGACTCAACTGCTTACCGAGCAAACCTGTCTCGCCATCGCCATCGAGGCAGTTGTATATAAAAATGAGTTACCTTCAGTGGATTCTTCAAAAATAAAAGGTAAATATTGGAATGGTGCATTCGATCTTCTTGGTCTGGTGTAGGAGATGATCATTTAAATTTACTACAATAGACTTAGCTATCTTTTAACGTTGAAAGGTGGAAAAAGATTGTGTCAAGCTATGTTGATGTGTGCCAGTCACAGTGCGATTAGTCAGATTATACCTCAGTGGGAGTTGGTGGCAAGGCTATTTTCCTAGTATTCTGTTCATAGGTGACATCACTTCCCCAATTATGTTCTTGCTGGCCTTGCATCTGCACAGAGAAAAATACCAGTTTAGACTTGAGCTAGAAACGATTATCATTCATCCACCCTCTCTCACCCAGACTGGCCACACCTGACTGAAATTCTACTGTAAGAACTCCGAAACTCTACCACGCATGAAGCTCGCTATATAAATACGAGTTGTTGTTCCACTGTTAGCTTTAAGCTACAGGAATCAACATTAACATATATAAAAAAAGGAGCTGTCAACTTAATAAATTGCTTTCATTAATGCAAACTTGTAAAACTTGATATATTTGTGAACATGCAATTGGTAGTGGAACGAATGCTATGTAAATTATATTGTATTGTAAGCGGTTAAAACGCTGTTAAAATAATTGTCCATTTGAGGCTTTCTAGATTAGGTCTACCGGTGTGGGCTCTCAATGCTTAAGCAAACATTTTCACACAACTATAATACATTAGGGACAAAAATAAAGGCAATCGTATCAAACAACCGCTGAGGCTATTTTGTCGGCATAGAAAGGAAGAGCATAAATTTAGGGCCCATGGGATAAGCTGCAGTTCTCCAAAAAAGGACCCAACTATGTAACGACTCTAGTAATGTTAACAGGACTGCTCATTGTGTACCCATTACATCTGATGGGTCTCTGTAGTCATAAAAAGGACTTTACTTTACTTAACGCAACATTGGCAATAGTGAAAACATAGCACACTAATCTTTTTCTCACCAGTGAAAACAATTGCTGCGGTGGTGACACTGTGAATTCAGAGTTCAAACATGGCTGTGTGATTACTGGGGAATGTTTGCTATACAGGTGAAGGGAAAATAGCATTATGGACTTGAACAATAAATGTGTCTGTTTAAGTCCTTATATGGAGGGTTAAGAGAAAAAGTCCTGCAAAAGCTGTTGCATCATTGTCTGGTCACAGTGAATGGGTGGAAAAGATAATAATTATGTAGCTCTGTGAAGCACTGACAGAACAGTCAGCAGAACCAATAAATTACTTCATTGTTTCTCTATTATTATATGTCATGCTCTTACATCATCTTACACGTAGACCTATATTTAGCATTACATCAGTCTGCCTGTTCATGTGGACATTAAAGATATTCAAAAAGAGATGTGTGTTTCTCCCAATATTGTGGCCAACAATAACTGCTGCATTCACCTCATAGCTGTACATGGGATCTTGCTGGCACAACTGATTACCGCCTTGGCCAACAGTAAAACAATCACTATGCTGGACAGTAATTGCTTTGTGAAGCACTTTTGAGATGTTTTGACATGATAAAGAGCTATAAACATGCAAGACCTTTCAATCTTTTCAATGAAAAGGGAGAGTTTTACATTATATCAGTGTATTAGTACACTACAACTCTCTGGGAAGCAAATCCTGCACAGACTTTACCATTTAATCTCATTCATTAATTGGACAGTTTTATATTACAAGTACCCACTACTGTATCATTTAGTGTGAGATAAACAGCAGAGCACTTTCACAGTGATCAAATATAGTTACAGTAATAGCTTTTGCATTGTACCAAGTGATTAATACTCTGAAAAACATGATGAGAATTTATATTGGGATTGCCCATACCATCCTGGTTTCCTGGTTGGATTCATGTAAGCCATTGGTGTTCCAGGTAACGCATTTTGCGTTAGGCAATGATCTGTATTCCTGCTGAGAATCCAGTACCGGAAAGAAAAATGTTGGATTTAAATCAAACGATAATATTCCACAGAGAGGCATCAGACAGTTTCAGTGACAACAATGAGGATTTAGATCTAGCAACAAGCAGCCAAATGTTTGATTCTGTGATTATCTAAAGTACATTTCCAGAATACAAGGCCTATTTAGCTTTAGACACTAGTGTAATTATTCTACCACAAACACTATTATAAACATTGGTTTGTTTTCAAATGAAGTTTTAACTGTGCATTTAACCATAATGCCCTAACAGCATCAAACAGTTTGTTTTAAATCATCCAGTGTCCTAGCCACTACTATCTGTTCCTGTTGTTAATTATCCTCTGGGTAAATAAACAATTTCTGGTGCTCATCCTGAAATTGCTTTTTGCAACTTTCAACTTAGCTCTTCTTGTTCTACTGTCTTTGTACTTTCCTTCTAACTGAACTTTTTAAATCTCCTTTAAACTTGTATGCACCTCTAATAAGGTCTTATCTGAGATGTCTTCTCTCAAGATCTTCTTAGTATTTATTTGATACAGGAAAAACAAGTTAAGAAAACATTCTCTACATAATTGATCTGCTTACAGACTGATACTGTAATAGGTGGACTCCTTTCTCGCTCCCAGACAAGAAGGAGGTGGTTTTGAAATTGAGCCACTAGTGTACTCAGATCATGGTGCACTGAAGCACACCTTCCTCACAGTCACTTCAATAAATGTGGAGCTTCATGAAGAACTTCTCTGGAAGAGAATTAATTTTGATTGACAAACGTGACTTTAAAACTGAGATCAAGTGACACAAGACAGGGAGTACTTTACATTGAAAAGTTATTTTCTCCATATGAAATCAAGCATTACAAAATGAAGGCTAAATGGCTTCAAGCTAGGTTTACGCTTATTATCTCAACTGCCACATCTCACCAGTTCTGGCCCAGGCTCCACTGGCTCCCCATCACAGAACAGATCGACTTCAAGATCCTCACGCTCGTGTTCAAATCCCTTCACTCCCTGGTACCTCCCTACCTCTCCGACCTCCTCACTCCCCAATCCACCACCCGGCGCCTCCGCTCAACTGGCACCAGCCTCCTGCTCGTCGATCGCAACCTCCGCTCCACCATTGGAGGTCGCACTACGCCCCCAAACTCTGGAACACTCTCCCTCAACCCCTCCGCCTTGCCCCTTCTCTCCCCTCTTTCAAGTCCTGCCTGAAAACTTTCTTCTTCGACCATGCTTACGCCACCTTCCCCCTCCCAGAGTCAGCGTCTGCCACTGTTAAGCGCTCTGAGACGCCGTCCTGTGTGGAGGGTGCTATGTAAGTGCAAGTTGTTGTTGTATTAGAACCGCTCTCTAAACAATGACACTGAAAACTCAGGAATGACCTGAAGAGGCAGGCTGCACCTTGTAATCAATCAAAGTAAAGATCACAAAATCATTTGAACATATACATTATATTACCTTCTTTTTTAATGCAGAAATGTATTTGATATTAAATGGTACAAAAGCCAGTAAAGGAAGTTTAGCACCTAATCCTTTTAGGCATCGTAAAAGATAGATTGTTTCTTTGTCAACAGGAAAAAAATGGGGTCATGGTTATCACATGTTAAGGAAGAGATTACAATTTGTAAATAATTTGTAAACCAGTCAACACTGACATTTCCACCAACAATGAGCAGGAAAAATAGGCTGAATAAAAAGGCGATGTAAATCAAGAATTCAGAATAGAGATGAGTGAACAATAAGAGGGCTGCTACTGAGAAATGCAGAATAATTACAGAGCATCCATAGTACTGAGAATGTCTTGGTAGTTAGAAGTAGTGTTAATAAACTGACTGACAATTGGTGAAAACAAAGTGACATGCGGCTTATTTGTAACTGAATGAGGCCAGTTTGTCTGCAAATCAATTTGGTTGCAGTAATGTTAAACATATCCAATATACCTGGTTTAAAATTAACAAAAGAAAACTATCCACCTTTTATGTCCTGTCTTTGCATTAAAATATTTGATATGTGTGACTGATGCGTCAGTGGTGTGCGAAATACACCTTTGGCACAGAGGTGCCTTTCAACTGCATACTATTTCTCACACACACCTACACACACACACAACCTCGGCCACAGTGCTTCTCAAACATTGTTGATAGGTAAACACAACACAAACTTAATGGACCACACACAAGAGCAGTAAAATCCTGGTCATCACTTGTGCAAAAGAAATACCCCTCTTGATTTTGGTCCTTTATCCACCAATAATTCTATTGAATGTTTCATCATATTTATACTCACACACAAGACCTTGAAAAGATTCAAGCACTTGACTACAGCTCAAGGGTTTAGCTCTGCACACTAAAGTTAAGAGTTTTAATTATAACCCTATTACTCCATTTTAAAAAAAATACCCACTCCTTTAAATCAAAACATAGATAACCAGGTAAGAGGAGGACACACATTTTTCTTCCAAGTACAGCACTGAAACCTGATACTGAAGTAAAGAAATGCAGTGAATAAAAGTAATGTGAAGCATTAAACATCACAAAGTAATAAAAGGCAGGTGTACTTACTGAAGACGATGGGCTGTTAATTAACATGGTTGCTAAGAAAACATTTGTGCTTAGCATATGATTTTTTTTCTTGTGCAAAGGAAGACAGACGTTAAACAGTGAGTAATTCTTGGTTATGCCCATATATGGAATAAAAGTTGCCGTGTGAAAATCATCTTTGAAGGGTGCAGTTGGACCACACAGCTCATTACGTCTGTCTTCCTTTTTTAAAAAAAATCTTGGAGATAGAGGAAGGTTGGATAAAGGGTGTGGTGAAAGGTGGGGTGAACGGTGTGGACAGGAGAATGCTGCAGACACAGCCATAATATTTTAATTACAGAAAAATAAATTTATAAAATAAAGCAGCAGTTAAGATGCCTTTAAAGAATGTTCTAGCGCATTTTACGAAGGAGCAGCGAATCGATCAAAGCTTCATGTGCTTTCATTATTTAAGAGTTACAGTAAAGAGAAACTACATGTTTATTCATGTACTGAGGTTTTCATATGCATGAAGGAACAACCCAAAGGTTGAAACGCAAGTGAGAGACCTGGGTTTGATTCCAGGCAGGGAGAAACCTTGGGCAAGTTTCCTTACTCCACACGCCTGATAATAATCCCTCAAGAAAAAAATAATAAATTGGTCATTTCAATCCATGATTGTTTATGGGACACTGCTGTCCGCAATTAGTTGTCGCGGTTCGCCCACAAATATACAGTCAATTCACTTTATAGTATATTCTGTGAAGCGCTTTGAGACATCTAGAAGACATGAAAAGTGCTATATCAAATGCCAGGATTATTATTATTATAAAATGTGGATCCCTTTACAAGACCAGTATACCTCGTTACATTCAGATAGAGATTAAAAAACACACAAGGATTGAAACTGAAGCTATAAATTCTTGCAGATATATATCTTATTTACAATCCGTTTTTCATGTTAATTTGTTACAAGTTGGCACCAAACCATAATGGAGCAAAAATGTGGGCAAATTAATGCAACAAGAAATGTAAATCTTCCTCTTTGCACAAATCACTTACTTGCTATATTTCAAACCTTTACACCTTACTGCCAGGTAAACAGAGGCGTGTGGAGTAATGAAACTTGCCCAACCTTTCGCCTTGCCAGGAATCGAACCCAGGTCTCCCACTTGCGAGATGAGCGTTCTAACCAGTGAGTTATAGGATTCCATTAGGGAATATAATTTTTTGGGCAGTCACTGTCAATTCAGCCACTCTGAGGCAAGATACTGGATAGACGCATACAGAGTGAAATACCGAGGAATAGAAATTCCAACTTAAGCATCCAGAGTTTAGCAATTTCTTTAATACAGTCTTAATTTTGAAGCTGTTTTACGGTAAATTCTTTTAAGAACTTGCAGCAAAACTGACTTCAAAGTTAAGACTGAATTCACCAATTTCAAAAGTTTGCATGCTCTGAAATGCTAAGAAAATAGAGTCAATATAGACTCAAGTGAGATTTATCATTCCTTTCTCTGCTTCAATGATCGATCTGCCGCAACCTCAACATCAAAAGAACACATCTCTCACTTCACTGTACTTCCCATAACAGGCATCATTAGAGGGTGTTCCAGTTTGGGATTAATTCTGTCAGCAAAAGAGCCAGTTATTGTCAGATTATCAAAAAACAATTTATTATGCACCAGCACTTTTTAGGAAGTGAGGCTGTGACTGACTACTCTTGTGGAGAACCTAAGTCAAAGATGAAGACCTATATTTCTTACCGAAAAAATTAGCAGAGAACCAAGTCAGGACAAAATTGGTAAGATGATATTTCTCCCAATTAAGTTACATTTAACAGGTCTTTTTTTTTGATCAGCCGGGTGTTCTGACGCATAAGGAAACCCATCACCACACTTAAGAGTATCCAAACCTACACATGGAAATTCCAGAGATATTTATTGGAATGTAATGCACATTCTTCCCACCCCATCCATTAAGACTTTGGCTTGCAGGGTCAACAGGATCTGAGTGGGTGGATTCCCTGCCCTTGGAGTCCTGTAGCTCAGTGGTTAGAGCACTCACCTTGCAAGCGAGACACCTGGGTTCAATTCCAGGCAGGGCGAAACCTTGGGCAAGTTTCCTTACTCCACACGCCTAATAATAATCCCGCCAAAACAAAACAATAATAAATTGGTCATTTGCAATCCATGAATGTTTGTGGGACACTGTTGTGTCCCACAAACGCAATTGGCTGCTGCGTTTCGCCCACAAATATACAGTCAATTCACTTTACAGCATATTCTGTGAAGTGCTTTGGGATGTCCTCCCGACACGAAAGGTGCTATACAAATGTAATTTTGTTGACTGGTCTGCCTTTCCAAGTCCTGCCAATGAATTGTTCTGTCATCAGCAGTGTCCTGGAATACTGGCTAAGGAACTGGACTACCAAGACTGTCAGACAGCTGGCTCGATTCCGACATTCCATTGCCAAGCATTTCACCTTGGAGCCAGTTCAACTCCAAGGAAACTCTGCTTACCTTCACCCCAAGGAGGATAGTCACTAGTTGGTCATTTGACATCTGACAAAAACAGGTATGAGCTCTGACTAAGTGGACACTAGGTACAAGGAACTCCCTGAGAACTTCACAGCTCAGCATGAAATGCATCAGAGCATTGCCACCATCTCACTGTCCACAGCTCGGGCACACATCCCTTCCCATTGGGCAATGGTTCCACCAGTTGAAGGTGCAGAGTTTAAGCAGAAGCTGCTTGCCTCTCTGCAGGCCAATTAAGATGAACTTGGACTCCAAGTAACACCTTCCAGCAGCTGTCATCCCAAGCCTCAGAGTTTCCTCATCAGCTATCTGGCAGACATCTGCCTTCAGTGTGGTGGGGGGACCCTTACAGGACAACTTGCGATGATGCTAGCCACCTTGATGTTCTCAAGGTCCAGGTCTAATGCCTTGTACCAGGCTGACTCAGCACCAGCCGTTCAATCCAGGTCCTCATGCAAGAGGTCTTGGCAAATAAACGTGCCCACTGGGAAGTCACCTCCGCCTCCAGGGTGCTCAGCGGCAGGTCAGTGTCAGCCGGAGCCCCTCCCTCCCTGCAGCCGCTTCCCTCATTTGCCATAAAACTGCTTGATCCTGGATTTTGCCAAGAGGTCAGAGGAAGCCTCTCTCCTTCATCCCCAGGAACTCAGATCCATAAAGGAGGACTGTTTGCACACAAGTCTTGTATGCTACAAGCTTGACCTGCATTTTGCATTAAGCGCTCTGAGACCCTACCCTGCGTGGAGGGCACTATATAAGAGCAAGTTGTTGTTGTTACTGAATTAGGACCTTGCTCTCTTTGAAGAGGGACGAGCGTGACCAGAGTTATGCAGAGAGAGATAACAAGCAGAAATTTATTTCGCTTCAGATTAGACAAGATTGCAATGGGCTGATTGTTTACAAGACAGCTGAAACAAAGCAACATTAAAGCAATTATGCAGTATTTAATTCAGATGTCAGCAAATAGTAAGTATACAATCATCCATGCCAGCCACAATTACATCAGTCACTTCACTGGTGGAATTCCAACCAGACAATTAGTGGTATTAAACAAGTCAGCACTTGGTAACTGGGTGTGGTGTAATTAGAGAGTCTTGTACTGGACACAAGACTATAACTAGGAATTCCAGAGATGAAGAAATGATTGAAGTGTAAGAGGTAGGATATGAGAAAACAGACATTTCCAGAGACACTGATCAATTACTGGTGATGGGTTGTTCAATGTACAATATTACAATATTAATTAATTAGTGCACACCTGATATGCGGAAAAATTAAACCAAAATGGTCATTAGAACCAACATGGGCACCAATATGTCATTATAAGAGGAGTGGGAAAAAAGTAGACAAGGAAAAATAAGATTTTTTTTACAGTAACTGCTGTACATGATGGACATGAGGTAAAATAGGCAAGTCTATTTGTGGGGAGTTGTGGGGTAAGACATAAAGATATTTCAACAACAACTTCAATTTATACAGCGCCCTTCACGGTGTCTCGGAGCACTTTGTTAGATAGTGCGCTTACAATAATAATATAATAACAATCCTTGCATTTGACATAGTTCCTTATCACAGCATTGAGACGTCTCAAAGTGCTTCACAAAATATATTGTAAAGTGGATTGACTGTATTTTGTGGGCGAAATGTGTCAGTCAACTGCACGCAGCAGTGTTTCACAAACAGTCATGGATTGCGTGACTTTTTTTTAAAACCACCACAGCTTGTTACTTATAATAGCACATTTTGTGTAGGTAGAACGTTTCAAAGTGATTAAATAATACAAATTCAACATGCACATACTCCCATCATGCCAGGTAATTAAGTAGAGTACATCTGAAATTGGATTATAAACCCCGTCAGCATTTACGACATTTAACCAGACAATCAACTGAGATGACACATTTTGATGTCAGCAATTTATACAAGTCAGTGGTAGTGTTGACGTTGAACCTCATGTAAGCAAATCCTATGGTTTCACTTCCTAATTAATCATTTTTGTAAACAAGAACTCATCAGAAATCAATAGTTTAGAGTTTGCGGGCTGCCAATCTAAGGCTCTTAATGCAAGTGCTGTATAAAGGTTAAAAATGAAACTAAGTCGATATGAAAAAGGTTTAAGTTATAGAATAATAATTCTCGCATTTGATACAGCACTATATCACGTCGTCGAGACGTGTCAAAGCGCTTCACAGAATCTACAGTACATGTTCTTTTGTACTATAAAGTGAACTGACTGTATATTTTGTGGCTGAGACTGGGCGGTAGCCAATTGCGCTGAGCAGTGTCCCACAAACAGTTGTGGCTCGAGTGACCAAATTATGATTGATTTAACCTGAAAAATGTCGGCTGTAACTTTAATGAGCGCGTAACAACTTGAGAAACTTTGCGAGGATCCTTTATCCATTGGCAAAATCCCAAAATTAAAATCGAGGTCATTGAGCAAATGCAGCCCTTGGTGCCCTGCAAGAGGAAAGAGTGACTCACTCACCTGTTGTTGCAGGATTCCGGATACGTTATGCTGGCCTGGGACACTCAGGAATGAGATGTTTGTTTGACTGGGAGCTCTGGAAAGCAAGTATGTTGTGCGTTCATTCACCTCCACTGCTGCTGGCTCTGGAGAGTTTAAGTGTTGATTCATTTGGCTAAAAGATCTTTCCCAACTATTGTCTGTCGGGAAGTTCAGTGACATTTTGCAAAGTGATCAAGTCGTCCCCCCCAACCAGCTACAACACCCCAACCCTAACCCCAACCTACCAGCAGACAGACAGAAAAGCCACAGACTTTTGCTAGTTACTTGAGATCGGATCCACTCTGCTTCTAAAACTGGAGAGAGAGAGGAGAGAGTGAGAGCTGTAATAGCTTTTCATGTGGAAAAAACATATAGGCGTAACCTGAACCACACCTCCTTTGAACACACCTTTTCTAGGCTCTGACACACAGGGCAGGTCAGGGCGCTGCTTCTGAGTTCAATCGCACCCTCCCAAGTTCCAGCTAAAGACGCAGGATCTGAATAATTTGGACGAGCACATTTTTACTGGTTTTTGTGAATGATAAGACGGGGAAAAAGACTAATGAATTTACATTAATCTTCCTTTATATCCCCCCCACCCCCCCCAACACACACACACACAGTTGATCAATGCCAACCAAATGAATTTCAGTTAACCACTCAGGTAAAGTGGGGTAAAGGCTAACATTCTCCTTCTACATTCCTCACACTAAAATGTAAATTACCATATGTCCACTGGCAAATGGGGCATAGCATCCAATTCAAACATTATTATTATAGTCGGAACAAGAAGACGTTGAAAAATTCAGCAACTTAAAAAATCTATTTAAAATTATGAAGTTATCTAAAGAGTCCCAATGAACAGGTTGACACAATACTGTTGACACAGACACACCTGCAACGAGTTTCATCATTTTTAGATTTATTGCATTTTTGGTTTCATTCCTCCCGATACTGAGAATTTGCATAAGTTAATTCAAATCCATTAAAACACCCGATTTGGCGATCATTTGTAAAACAAAAGGCATTAAAAGCAGCTAAATTCAGTTCAGATTGATGTATCTAACACAGAGTGTTCCATAATTATCGTTCCATAATGGCCTTTACAATAGGCTGAAAGACCTGTAATATTTTTACATTTCTGATGCAAAAGGACGGATTAGATGTTTGCATCCTTCACCCTACAGACATATTATTATTTATGTATGTTGAATGTTTCAGTAAAAATAATTGCGTAACAGCACAATCTCTCAATCTATAATAATAATACTTAATTTAATATAGCGCTTTTCATGTCTTCTAGACGTCTCAAAGCACAGAATAAACTGTAAAATGAATTGACTCTATATTTGTGGGCAAAATGCAGCAGCCAGTTGCGCACAGCAGTGTCCCACAAACAGTCGTGCATTGAAGTGACCAATTTATTATTGTTTTTTTTGAAGGATTATTATCTAAGACCTATATCAGTCAGCAATTATACTTTCTGAGAATGGATGTAAAAATCTAGACGCTCCCTTAGTCTATCCTATCACATACAAGTGGCAATGTGTAACTTCTTTATAGTATTTTACCTACAAAATGAAAGGAATTGTGCTTTGTAATAAAATCCTGTGAATCACTTTGTGCTTTGCAATAAAATCCTGTGAAACACTTTGATAGAACTTCCCAATGTGAAAGCTTGATTGCTTGGGACAAATTAAAAAGATCACAGATGGCTAGTAATTCCAATCATTAAGAACGTTACAGAAAATATAATATGTGATTTTCACCACATAGTGGTTCTCCAACATTGGAGAATTGTTCAGCGTTATAAAGGAACTTGAATATAATAATAATCCTTACGCTTGATATAACCTTAAGATCATAACAAAGTGACTTTTCCAATTTGAAATATAATCATTGCATTTGATATAGTGTTTCATAACATTGGCGAAATGTCTCAAAGTGCTTCCCAAGCTTAATGGTGTACTTTATTGACTGTGTATTTTGTAAGCGAACACAGCAGCTAATTTGTGCACAGCAATGTCCGACAAACAACCACAAAAACAAATTACCAGGAACCTTCCCTCATAGCTCAGGAAATGCATATTAATGTAACTCAGTGATTTACGAAAGAAAGAGCCATTCAGAATTGGAATTCACAATGATCTTTTAACCTGACGTTAAGTTCTGGTTACGCTGGAACCAGTGAAAGAACAACTGTTGTTGCCGTGTTTATTAGGGAGGAGGTGGTGTATCTGAGATTAGGTGCAATTGTTTCTGAAATAAACAGGCAAGAATGAAATCCATTCTGTGGAATAAATCCTTTTATTAAGAAAAAAGGATTCAAGGTACAACATGGTTTATCCAGGTCACAATATACAGCTGTGGCACCTTTGTTTTTATTAACAATGGTAAATCATACTTTAGTTGTACCAACAGCACGTTGCCCATAGAATTTAACATTTGCCCAGCACTCAAACAGCTGTCAATTCAGCTCCCTTTTGAATGCATGGTTTTCTTGACTGTGTGAATTTCATCAACTTTCAGTTGGAGAAGAAACTGGCATTAATTAAAATTAAATCTGAATGGAAGAAATATATAAGACAGTTCAGAGCCATTGTTAGTCTCATTAATTTAAAATTCCCGGACACTTCCAAATATTCAAAGCCAGTTCATCAACATTCTGTGGCTGTTACATGTTCAGTGTGTTTACCATACCTCATTAAGCACAAACACACATATTATGTAGAGTGTATAATATAGTCCAGCTCAGCTCTGTGACTTCCACCATTCAGAGTGGTATCAATAACAACAATAATTTGCATTTTGTAGCACTCCTCCTGCAGTATAGCATCTCATGGGAATACCACCTCTAAGTACGCCTCCAAGTACCTCATTATCTTAACTTGGACATATAACATTGTTCCTTGTTGCTAGATTAAAGTAATAATTCTTGCATTTGATATAGCGCCTTATCACGTCTTCAAGACATCTCAACAAAATGCTGGAACTCTTCACCCTACACCATTGTGGGAGCACCGTTGCACCAAGGACCTAAGTGGTTTAAAGAGAAGGTCCATCAAAACCTTCTCAGGGCAATCAATCTCCCAAGGATTGGGAGTAAATAACAGCCATGACAACTTTGTCCACGCCCCAAATAGCAAGAAATAAAAAAAAGTTATGCAATAAAGGGTGTGGTTTCATTGACATTACAATGAGTCACTTACCTCTGTGGTTTGCGTGTGAGAATTTCAGCAGATGTGGAGAGAGACAGACAAACCACTTTGTTCAGGTCCTGGTTTGTTTCTTGCTTGCCTGGATCACTACAGAGGACTGTTTCCCCCATCCTGATTAAAGCTGTGAACTTGCTAAGTGGACATGTAGCAAAGAAAAACGTTAGCTTTTGGAGAATCTTTTGTCAGATGGTATCATTACAATTACAATACAAAATTACATCAGTGCTTTGGACTTCCTCCCAACGTGAAAGGCGTTATGCAAATATCATTTTGTATTTGTACTTCGACTCCAAGACCACTGCTGTCCTGACAGATTGTCTGTCAGACATCAAGTCCTGGATGAGAGCAAACTTTCTTCAGTTGAATGTCAACAAGGCTGAGGCCCACCTGATTGCTCCTGTCAGCACCACCACACCTCAGGCGCTGACAGCATCACCATCCATGGATGCACACTCCACTTTGCTAAGCCAATCCAGAATCCTGGCATCTTGTTTAACCCTCAACTATGCTTTCTACCCCCCATCTGTGCCATGACCCGCTCTACCTTCCCCCACCTCCACAACATCGCCTGGCTCCGCCACTATCTCACACAGCAGGCCACCAAAACCCTCATACACTCATTTCATAACATCAAAGTTTGACTAATCAAATTCCCTTCTTGTCGGCCTCCCCAACTCCTCCCTCCATAGGCTGCAGATCATCCAAAACTCTGCAACCCGGGTCCACCTCCGCACCAGGCTCCGTGACCCTATCAACTCCATCCTCGCCCGACTCCACTGGCTTCCCATCATACAGAGGATACAGTTCAAGATCCTTCAATCACCCTCATTCCCCCCTGTCCTCCACCCATCCCAATCCTGACCCCCAACTCGAGTCTGAAGCATTGATTGTCCAGCGCCTTGGGATGTCCTCCCAATGTGAAGGGTGCTGTACAAATGTCATTTTGTTGTTGTTATTGTTGTTTGCAAGTTATCTGATGGCATTCCTGGCCTTCATTGGAGCATGGTGGTGCCCTTAAACCACTGAGTTCACTATCACTGTATTATCACAATGTGGGGGCGGGGGGGGGGGAGAGAGCGCAGGCTGATAGCAAACCTTTTTCATTAAAATCTGGTTCAGTTCTAAGATCATTCATAACCATTAGAGAACCTATTAATTATATATATATTATATATATATAAAGTAATTTGTTCTATAACACGAATTAAACAAGTGAGCTGGTTCAAAATGTAAAAAGTATGTGTGTGTGTGGAAGGATGGAGATAGTGATAGAATTAAGTTTGTTTAGAGGTTGCAGGTTCAGTATTGTGAGATAATAATAATCCTTGCATTTGATAAAGCGCCTTTCACGTCTTCTAGACGTCCCAAAGCGCTTCACAGAATATACTGTAAAGTGAATTGACTGTATGTTTGTGGGCGAACACGGCAGTGTCCCACAAACAGTCATGGATTGAAAATGACCAATTTTTTATTATTGTTAACACTCAGAGGAAGTCAAAAATGTGAAACTCCACACAAAGTCCCCAACTGAGGCTGGTTGACGCATTTTGAAAAAGAATAATATGAGAAAGAATAATCCATCTGGAGGTGATTAATATGCCCTGTCTAAACAAAGCCACTATTTGCATAGAGAACCACCTTTATTTAATGACTGTTACATCAGCCTTGCCTTAGAATTCACGTTCATCGATTTTTGAAAGAGGTGAAACCGAAGCTTCATGTCAACATAGTCGTTAAATAAATGTGCCATCAGCATCCAAACACGGAATGATTCAATTTAGTTCCTTTATCACCCTCTGGTCCTCCTACAGGGCTTGCTAGACAAATGGAAAAATGGCCAAACTCCAGATAGGAACTTTAAACTCAGGAATTTTAAACTCAGCATCCACAGATGCACACTCCACCTCACCAAGCCCGTCAGGAACCTAGGCATCTTGTTGCCAACTGTCCTTTCTCCCCCACATCCGTGCCATGACTCGGGTCCTTATCCCTGAATGTTCAACACCTTGGGAGGTCTTCCCGACGTGAAAGGCGTTTTACAAATGTAATTTGGTATTGTATTGTAAAGAGTAAAAGTCCAGTGAAAAATCTTAGAAAG